GGATGTGAGAAACCTCCCATGGTCACACTCAGGTGCTGCAGGATGGAAGAGGGTTTGAGAAAAAACAACTCAGCCTGCTCCAGCCATCCCCTGGCTCAGTATGTCAGGGCAGTGGCTTGTGCCGGGCTCAGGAAGGGCAGAGGCGAGAGAGGGGAAACAAGGGCATGGGGAAGTCTCAGTGGCCCAGAGCCAGCATCTGTGCCCCCGGCACCCACGGTGCTGCACCCAGGGCATCACCAGCATCACAGCTGCGCCCCAGAGGCTCCTCCCCAGGCTGGAGCAGCTGGGCTGGGCAGAGGATGCCCAGCTGGCTGGAGGGCCCAGGACAAGGGGATGCCAGCGGCTCCCAGTGCTGACAAGGGCTGCATTCTGCGCTGAGCCCTGGGCAGCCCCAGGCACTGCAGCACCTTGGCCCAGGGCTGGCTCCAGTGCTGAGCGCCTGCCTTCACTGCTGTGGGGAGACGTCAGCTGACCCTTTCAGGGCAAGGGTAGCCACTTCCAGGCAGCTGCAGCACGAGTGGGAAGACTCTACCTCCTTGTCTCCCAAAGAACCACAGCAAAGCCAGCAAAGGTAGGGTGGGGGTGCCCTGGCAGGGGCCAGGGCTGCCTGTCCTGCCAGGGTATGTTTCGCTGGAGACAGGGCAGCACCAGGGGCTGATGCCTCCACATGTGTCCTGTGTTCCCAGGCGCTGGCAGCTCCTGCACAGACAGAGGCGCTTGACGAGCCAGTGGCAGAGCCCTCTCTCAGGGGGTCTCACTTGTACAGCCCACACCTGGCAGCAGAGCTGGCAGCTTTACCTCAGCCTGGCTGAGTGTGGCCCAGGGGAGGCAGGTGGGGAATGGCCCTGGTGCCAGAGTCACACTGGGCTAAGTGGGCACAGGGCCACCAGACCTGCAGCACCACAGTTGTCCCTGCCTTCCTTGGTGAGCTTGATCAGACAGGGATGCAGGCAGCAACAGGAGCCAGCATGGTGGCCCCGGCCCTGGCCTGGCTTCTTGCTGCAGCTTCTCAGCAGCAGTTTGCAGAGCCCAGCCAGACCAGAGCCCACCCCATCATCTGCACATGCAGCACAGGCTCGTCTGGGCCCCCAGCCCCTGGCACGGCAGCCCTGCACACAGAACCATTGCTGCTTGCTGCAGGTAGAGAAAACAAGGGCTGTGGGCTGGGTGCCCCATGCAGACACCCTGCACTGGTGTCTACCCTCCTGATGTCCACCCTCCCTTCTTCCAGGCTGAGCCAAGGCTTCTGTGTTGCCCATGACACTGGGAGTCAGGCTCTTTCCCAGCAAGAGCGATGGGCTCTGTAGCACCTTGCTCCTGCTGTACTTCCATGACTCAACAGGTCCCTCCCCACTCAGATGCTTTGCTCAGTGTTCAAGTAACAGCAGCAGCTGCGGAAGGGCCTTAACATCCCCAGCCCTCTTCTGGGGCAGCCAGCATCCTGCAGTGGGGGGGCTCCTGCCAGGACGAGGGGACAGTGAATTTACGATTTGAGGGCTGGAGTGGCCCAAAGCTCCTGGTTTCTGCACATGCTAAAACCACAGGGCAGGGACCCCTGGACAAGCAGCCTGGGCTCCCAGAGGTCCCCATGAACCTGGTCTCCCATTCCACTAATGTAGCAGGTGCCCAGGGTCCTCCAGGCCTCCCAAGGCATGCTGAAGGGCTTTTTTTGAGCCTTCCCTCCAGTGCAGGCTTAGAAGAGGGTCTCCTCTGCTCCCACCATGCAGCTGCAGCTTTGCTGACGAGAAAGGGTACAGGCAAGATCATTCAAGAGTTACTTGTCTGGTCTCATGCCACACAGTGGGCACTGGTCAAGTTTGGGACTTGACCAGGACTCTGAGACCACAAATAAATTCAGATGCTGCTAAGAGGAGTTCCAAGATACCTGGTACTCTCCTGAGTAGATCAAGACACCCCCTGGGGCCTGGACACCAGGAAAGACTTTCTTGGCAGAGAAGTTTGCTGTGCATTCCAGGTGAGGCAGCAGCAGGAGAGGAGACCAAGCGTGCCCCATGGCATGAGAAAGAACCGCCTTGTAAAGTAGCTGGAAGCAAGCAGCACCCCAAAGCCCAGGCAGTCCTCACCATAGGCTGCAGGAATGACTTGTAAAAAAAAAAAAAAAAGAATGTTGATCCTGTTGCCATAAAAATCGAACCCCGGATCCACTGCTGGTGATGTGGTTTCAAGCCTCTGCTTAAGGAACAGCAGCAATGTAGAACCCTTGAAAGACGTGCAGGCAGGACTGTGTCTCTCACCCTGGGAGAGTGACCGACTGCCACCAGCTTAGGGGTTCTTGTTCCACTCTGCAAGGAATCTGCAGGAGGTGGACAACCCCTGACAGAGCCCTTGGCTGTCACTTCAGCAATGGAAGAAGCAAGGACGATGATGGTTCTGCTGACAGGAGCCTCACAAGGCCATGCCCTTCAGTGGGCCAGAGGCTGAGGCAAAGTTGGCCTGGAACAATAATCATCACATGACCCAAAAGTTCACATTAAAAAGCTATTTTCTTGCCTCATTATTAAATACATACATCAGCAACCTTACCAATAGAAATATGTATGCTACAAAGTATCTAGGTGACAGCTGTGGGAGGAATTTCCAGAACAGATGACTAATGATGGGCATAAAGGAGGGACTCAAGGTGATCTGCTAAAGAGAGGGGATCTTGTACAAAACGCAACTCATGTACTTAGTATTTCTGCTGCAAGAAACAGCTGGAAGCAGAGAGGAAGACCGAGGAAACTGAGCACAGACATGGGACCAACAGGCTTGACCGTAGGATGAAGGTCTAGCGGTCCAGGCTGCAGCAGGTGAGAGATGGGCAGCTGTGACAGGCCCCAGAGCTGCACAAGGGACAGCCCTGTGAGATGCAGGGGAAGAACACACTCACTGGGCAGGTGTGCAATGCAGAAAAGCAGTGCAATGTCCACCCTTGAAGATTTTAAGGGCTTAGCTGGCAAAGGCCCCCGAACAGTATAACACAGCTTGTGAGTGCACCTCGCTCAGAGCAGGTTAATTACATGACCTCCAGAGGTCATTTTTTTCCTACATTTTTTAAATGCATTACTAAAACCTAATGTTACACAGAGGTGTACTTAACAAGGTTAAAAAAAAAAAAATTAATTGATGCAGCTGCAGAGAAGGACTACCAGGAAGGTTTTGAGAATTAAAAACTTATTTTATTGGCACTAATAAAGTTCTTGGCCTGCTTTTGCTACCAAAATGAAAATTTAGAGAGGACCCATCAATTGTACTGATGAAAATAACTCCAGGGAAGAAATGTAACTCAAACAAAAATACTTGGTACAAGATCAAAAAAAGCCATTACAAAAAAAAAAGTTACAACTGGAAATGAGAATTTTCCGGAAAACAGAGGAAGAAACTGAGTAATACCTATCAGGAGAGCAGGAGTAGGGGATCAAACTGTCAGGAAGCTGAAGAACTGTGTAAGAGTTATTTGTCCCACACTGGTATATACTCCAGATGTTTGAATTAAAGCTTGCATGAAGCAGCATCTCTGAATTGTATTTTAATGAAATCTAGCTCTTGAGACTTTCTGCTGGCCACCTGGAAAGGATGAAGATTCCTTCTTTTCCCTTAGCATAAAACTCAGCTTCTACAGAAGGCTCATTTTCATCTGAAGTACCAGTGTGCCATCCCAATTAACAAAACCTCCACTACTTGTAAGGCAACTGAGAAGGCTGGTGGAGCTTTCTCCTGCAATTAAGGAACACCTTCCTGAACAGAGGGGCAGTGTACGGGGTGGCGGGGATGCTCCTTACCTTCATTTATATTGGGATGTCAGGGCCCAGGTCCTGAATGAAAGCAGTCAGTCTCACTGCGTGCTGTTACAAGGACCTGGAATTCAGGTAATAAGCAAAAAGTCTTCCCTCTCTCCTGCGGTATGTAGAACTTGGGAGTTCTCCAGGACTATAAACCATTAGTGCTCAAGGTTTTCTGTGCAACAGATGTTTAATTTGGAAATTTTTTTGCAAAACATCTATTACACATTCATCTGTCAAAAGAACCCCAACAGTCCATTTCATTTGAGGTTCCTGATGGTGGGCAGCTCTTGGTCACACTGGTTTCTTCAAACCGCCAGGCTGTAGAGGATTTCAGTTTTCTGAGCACTGAGTTCATGGACATCCTGTCCTAGCAGACCTGAGAAGCTGGCTAGCCAGGGAACTCAAACCAAGTCACCTTGGCCACAAGTGGTCTGCTAGGAGCTGTAGTGCAGCCTCCAACTAGGAGGATGGAAGAAAGGTCCTTGCTGCTGACCCAGGACCAGATGTGACTCAGTGATGCAAGGCTCCAAATTCCAGCACTCTAATAAAATTACCTGGAAGTTGATCAAAGCAACGCAAACCTGAGGGATTGACAACAGAACAGAGGGTCACTTTATTTTCAGCTGGTCAAGGAGTTCTTCTGCCGTTGCAACTATGTCCCAAAGAAGCAGCAGCAAAAGTGTGCAATAAGATGAATGCTAGAAAAGAATCTGAACTCTAGCTTTCTGGTGCTGATGATCACAATCCACTGTGAGCAGCCTAGGAGGCCATCCTCTTCGAAAAGGATCCTCAGCCTCTGACTGTTAGCATGGTGACAACTCCACCTCCTTACGGAGGCCTCATATTTGGGAACTCCACTGCACTGCAAAGTGCCAATCCTGTGCCCCCAACCCCCTCAAACCACCAAGATTTCACCCCCTCCGCTCACCCTCCCACAGGGACTGTATTTTGATCTCCTCTGAGTAGCTCAAATTCCCGACTTGGCTTTCTCTAGCCCAAGTTCAGTATCTTCAAAGTCTAAGTCCTGACCTCCTCTTCCATAACTCAAGGCTTATGTTTAAGTTGCTGCCAGGTTCTTAGTTGAGACAATCCGCTAGTTGGCATGTTCTGGGCTTCCAGGCTTAGGATATGAATATACCCCAGATGCAAAAAGGGTACTCACACTTTTGTTTCACTAAAAAACACACAGCGACCTTCCCATTGCATCAGGCACAGTCCCTATTTCTTTTAAAAATAAATATTTATAAAGAAAGGGAAGAGATTCAGAGAACTACAACGTTAAAAAATTTTCCTGCCAACAGCACAAATGTCTTTTCATGTAAAGTCACAAGAACAAGTTGTACACCAACACAACGTAAGTACTGTCTAAAAACCCTCTCTCCTCATCAGCTGCCATAGTTCTCCACTGCAGGAATCCGTATCTCCCATTGCAGCAACCAGCTCCTCTGCACTTCTCTAGGACTTGTACTGGGGCTGCTCAATCTCCTTTCGTGATCAAGTCCTCGATATATGCATCCAGTTCATCATCTGTATTAATATCAATGTCCTGAAACCAAAGGCACAAGAAATACCAGTGAAAGGTGAATCTGGAAGAACAGTGCAAGAACAAACGAGAGAGAGGAGCAGCACAGCATCCTCTGAAACATCTGTCCTGGTTGGCCTTTACACCCTGACTTCCAGCACTCTCCAGCTGTTGACATCTGCTGTGAAAGCACCACCAGCTTTCCTTGTCAGGCCTGATGGACAACACCTGGAAACCAGTCAGCACTTAATGCTCAAACAATGCACTCAAGCAATAGATGTACTGTGCTGATCAGGGTCAAGTTAGGGTGCTTGGGTTTTTTTTATAGCTTTAACACACATTTTCCTATTAGGGTGCAACTGCTTTCATCTGCTTTCAGTAGATTTTCCATTGAGTCATCTTAATTTTATTTAAAGTAGTTTTTAAATAAATAAACTTTAAATAAAAAGCTTTTATTTAAATATTTATTTGCTATTTTAAATTAATATTTAATAGTATAATTAATAAATAGATTTCAACATAAATTTTTTATATTAAGTATTATTTTGTTTAAAGGTTTGCATTTCTATACACGGGGTTCAGAATCTAATACCACCTTTCCGGCCAAGAATGGGGCAGAAATTCCCTGCAGAACACTGCCCAGGGAAATTCTCCTGCAGACCCATGTTTCATACCAGGAAACAAATAGAAGCTGCACATTATGCACATGCCATGAAAAATCGACCTGTGAAAATTAATGCTCATCAGGACCCCCAAAACCTGAATCCCAAAAGGTGGGCAGCAACAGCAGCTGTGCACTCAGCTGCTCCTGATGGTCTAAGCTCAAGTGGCACGCAGTTGAGAAGGAGCTGAAGCCCAGTTAAATGCTGGACTAAAATATTTCAAGTGCCTGGAAGGGCCTGGGTCAGGGGAAAGTTGCTACTCATGGGGCAGCTCTGGTTTCACTGCCCTTCCTCACTCACCTCCTGCACTTTCTGCAGAAGGGCCACGATGTTAGTCCTCAGCTTCTGCAGTTTCTCCTCCGTTTCCTTCAGCTTTCTCTCCGAGTTGCGGAGGTTTTCTTCACAAGCTTTGGCCCGGGCATCGGCACGTGTCTGATATGAATTGCACAGGTTCTGCAGACCTACCTCATACTGTTTGAAATATTCTTTCTGTAGAAGACAAAACACAACAGATGACACGTTAAGAAGAAGCACCGAGTGTCAAGAAACCCCCAGCGCTCACAGCTTGTAGAAAAGTCCAGCTACTGGCACCCCGTGACTGAACACCACCAGCCTAACACCGTGCCCCTGCACGCCCTGCTTGTGGTCATTACCATGCTCACATTCACATTTCTGATTTGCCTACTGCAGGCAGCACAAAAATCACATGGGTTTTCACATTCCTCAAAGACCAAAAAAATGCCTGGACTCAGATCAAGGACGCAGCATGTTTTAAAAAAGCCTAAAACCACAGTTATGCTGTGAGAAGATCTGAGCCTCTGTGAGCGAGTTTCCTTATTACTGCAAGTTAGGAACATCTACACTCACAGGAAACTCCAGACAAGACCAACGCATCCTGTGGAAGCAGGACCGGTAACTCAAGCAGGTGCCTGAATTAACAGAGAGAAAAGAGGGAGAGACTGCCAATATATACATTGAGAGTGAAGGAGTAGGGCACTTTGAAGACTACCAAGTAAGTTGTGGCTTTTGTCATTTGGTGATCTAGGTGGCTTGTCACCTACAGATGCCTCCCAAAATGTCTTCCTTTGTGGTATGTCACAGAAGAGAGAAGTCAGAGAAGCCAGTACCATTTCTTCACATTTCAGCCTGCATCGGACCTTCCAATACCAGCACACAGATACTGGTGCAAGCTCAACCCTTTCTGTTCCTTGCTCAAATAAACAGAGCCCACACCAAAAGCCTTTAGATATATGTCTGACTCACGGGCAGTGAGCCTGCTCACCTGGAGGAGCGTGAGAGGGTTGGCTTCCACAATCTCTCCCATTTTTAAGATTGCATCTGCCGAAGTTAGATTTATAAGGCTGGGGGTAAAACACACAGGTATGCTTACATCCTGTTTTTACAAACCTACAACGTGGTCTCTCTTTTTTAAAAGCTTAACTGCAATGGACAAAAAGTTAGGATAGTAGCAGCCAACAGCTTTCCCACACAGATGTATGGTAATTAAAAAAATCCTCAGACAACAACTGTCAAAAGACCTAAGGCATGTTCCCGAGGCTCTCATTCTTCTTCCCAGCTACGTTAGTCTGCTAATGATCCAAATAACCTTTTGAAGAGTGTGATCTTGCAACAACAGGATGCACACTTGCCATAAGAATGGAATGAGTGTGGGGAAAACCCCCAAACTTACATTTCTAGAAATACTGAACTCACCAAGGGAAACGCCAACAACCCTTCTGAGCTCATGGAACTCAGCTCCTTCTTAGAGATAGGAAAATTCGGAGGTAAGAAGTACCGCAAACAATTTCTATACAGGAAAGAAAAACGCAAAGTCAGAATTGGGAGTTTAAAAGACTAAAGCAGTCAGACTGCAGCAGCTCACAAGATCTGCAGTGAACCCACCGAAGGATCTGGACTAGTAAGTCTACTGTTTCTTGGCTGCTGCTGGGACCAGTGGTGTCTGGCTCGATTCTGACACAGTCTGAGGTGGAAGGTTCAGCCCCAACAACCTCCTCTTCCTGCTGCGTATCTGGAGCCTGGTATTCGGGAGAGGGAGGCTTCATTAACCTCACATCCTCACTACCCTTCTCTACCCTGAAATAAAAAATATTAAGGGAAAGTCAGACATCTTTTTCTATACTGGCCATACCTGAAACACTGTTAACCACTTCATCAGAAACTACACCCAGCTGTCACTCTAAGACCTCTAGATTCACAACAGCTGCCCATACAGGAGCATCATATCAAAGTGACAGACAGACTGTATGGAGTCTGTCATGCTCATTCCTTGTGAAGCAACTGGACAGTCCTGAGCACATACATGCTCCCCAACATGACAGCAATATATCTGTCATCAGCATCTATGGAAGTAAAATGGGGTCTTCCTCCTGAAAGCAAAAGAAACCTCCAAAATCCAGGAGCTAGAGATAGTTACCAGCGATCCCTTGGTGTGGTGTCTGTAGGAACATAATCAAACTTCACCTTCCAGCGTACTGCATGCTTGCCCATTTCCACAGCTGTGACACGGCCTGTGAACCACTCCTTGTTCACACGCACTTCCACATGCAGCCCTTTATCTGCAAGGAGGATGGCAGGAAAGATGTTTGCAAACATTCAGATGCTGGAGAGCACATTGTGCCTGAGCGCTACAGAAGACAGCCACCCTCAGTGCAGAGCAAACCTAAACCTGTGACAATCCCTTCACGTGGTACGTAAACCACAAAACCGCTACTGCCACACAGTTCAACTCCTACTTGGAAACACAAGGAAATTACATGGCATTTTCAGAAAGAAGGCATCTCCTGTACTCTGGGCTGTTTGATATGGGCTTTCCAGGCTCATGTTGGCCACTAGGACAATTTGCCACGTGTTCCTAGCAGGTAACTTTCCAGATAGCTCCTTGGAAACAAGCCAAAGAAATGACCTGCTTTGGCAAGTGCAATACCATACTGGCTATCATCTTTCCTGGGGGTCTCTTGGCCCCTCTTCTCTCACAGCAGTGCAGCAGGCCTAGATACAGTTCTCAGCATTTCTCAGCTAATGTAGCTCCACGATCCACTTGGTTAAGAAGGGTGAGCACAACATCGGTCTACACCACACAGCCAAGCATCGCACCCATTAATGTGACACAGCCCTCAGATTACAGATCTTCCTACGCCACAATCGCCTCTTGTCTAATCAAGAGGTTCCTGACCAAAATGTTTCATGTGAGTTAAGAATAACCTCGGGCTTTGGGACACAAATTTGCACTAATTCTTATTTTAAAAAGTTCATGAATGAAACCACATGTTTAACCAGTAAGTCTCATTCTGCAACAGTTCTTTTCCACAGTGTTAGATACCGGAGGCAGTTCAAGGGTTCATTTCTCACCTTTCTGAGCTTTCTTCAGTTCTGCCAGCTCTTCTTCCCCAGCACTGTCTGTGAGCTGTGAGCAGAGAGAGCTCAGATTAGCTGCCTTCCAGCAAGATTATAAACACTTGACAAATACCTTCTGCTGGGGAAGCCAGTGCACTCTACCTCTACCACCACCTCACTGGAATCCTTTCTCTCTTCTTTCACTGACAGAAATTTGCCTCGTTTTGTCTTCTCTTTCTTATACTCCCCCTCCTCCCCGGACCCATCCTCTGTGGTGTTCAAGGTCCTCTTCCGAGTGCTGGAGGCCTGTAGGAAGCAAACAAACTCTAGCTATAATTCCAGCATGCTACCAACCAAAACCTTCCTTCAGCCAATTAAAAAAAAAAGCTCAGCATCCAGTAATTAATTTAATAGCTAATTAGTTTTCCCAGAAGGTTTTCACAGGTGCTACGTGATCATGCAAACCCTCACCCCGCCACTCCACTTTTTTTTTTTTCCTGGGGAAACAGCCTGGTCTAACAGGAAAGAGATGAAACAAGTGTTCAAGAGGGGTGTAGAATGGCAGCCTAACCCAAAAGTAAAGTAAATGTTATCTCGTCCTGCACAGAGACTACAGTGCAAACCCCCAGGGACAAAGCAAGACAGGCTATGCAGAATAGTAGGTAAGAAGCTGATAGTTTTTATCCCATCGAGTCTCACCTGTGGGCATTTGACAGTGGCAGATTTCTTCAGTGCTGGCGTCTTGGCAGTTTTTGGACTGGATGTCTCACGTGAGCTTTTGGGGTTCTGATGGACCAAAGAGGATGGTTTCGTCGTTGTACTTGGTTTGGCAAGAGTTTTTAAAGCACTGTTAGACTTTCCAGCTGTCACAGTGTGCTGGTGTGTCCTGGAAGTGCTGGCCTCCTCCTTGGAGAGGATGCTTGCCAGTTTGGGAGTGCTGATATTTGGCCAAGCTGAAGAGCTTTTTTTCAGCTGACTGATGGACTTGGGAGGAGGCGTAGGTGGTGGTGGTCTGCTGGGAGCGTTCTTGATTACATCAGGTAAAGGAGGAGATCGCGGGCGCTGAGGTCGGGTCTGTGACTGGGTGTTCTGAAACAAATGAGGGTACAGAAGGAGAAAGGATGGAAGAGTTGGGCACTGCTTTTCAGAGCAGCTAAGGATAGCACAGAAGAGTACAAAGCCTACATTTACCTCCCCTCCAGGACATGTGGTCACTTCCAGAGGCAGTTTCTTTAAGTCAGCTTGAGATCGAATTGGAGTGGTTTTCTATCAAAAAAGTAAATATATAAATAAATCAGAAAGGCCATCATTAAAAGCTGTCAGGGCCCACCTGAACCCAGCCCAGCAACCAGTTTTCCAGTTTGAAATTAACAATTATAAGAAGATGTGTTCTGTGTCCTTCAAGAGACACCCCTCCATCCGAACACCAGCAGTCACTCCCATATTCCTAGCAGAAAATGAAATGCAAGCTGAGATGCTTGTTTTCTGTTATTACAACACCCGCTAACCCATGAAGGAGCACAGGCAGCATTAGGGGCTAACACAGATACGACTTGGCATCAGCCATTTGCCCTAGGAGGTCCCTCAAACCTGCTGCGCTTAGCTGGAGACCTCCAGATTCACCTGCAGAGCTTCCAGCTTTTCCTGCTGCTGGCGGATTTTCTCTGACAGTTGTTTCTGTTTTTCCTCCTGTGATTTCAAGTCTTTTTTCAGAGTTCCCAGTGGTACTTTCTGCTTCTGCTCTGCAGCTTCACACCTAGCGCAAAGGCAATGCAAGACAACCTCAGCAATGACAGCAGAACCTGCACTGTCTCATACACACAGCGCTGTCCCCATATCCCATCCCAAATGGGGCAGTAAAAACACTTTCCTTTCCACAGTAGCCACAATCTCAAACAGTGATTTTCTTCTTGGGAAACACATACGATTTAAGGATCTGTTCTGGTTTCAGCTGGGATAAAGTTAATTTTCTTTTTAGTAGCTGCTGTGTTTTGAGTTTTGCATGAGAATGATGCTGATAACGCATATTGTTTTAGTTGTTGTCTGGTGATGTTTTACATTAGTCAAAGACTTTTTCAGCTTCCCACAGAAGCACAGACAGAGCAAGCTGGCCAACAGAATATTCCATACCATAGACATCACACTCAGTACATAAGTGGGGGTTGGCCAGGGGGCAGCAATGTAATCACTGGCCAGGATGGGCTGGGCAATCGATCCTTGGGTGGTGAGAGCGATTTGTCTTGCATTATTTTATTTTGTACGCTTCTTTACCTTTATTATTATTATTTTTCCTTTTCTGTTACTGTTCCATTAGTTTGTCTTCATCTCAACCCATGCGGTTTCTTCCTTTCCTCTCCTTTTCTCCCTCTTCTCCCTACCCTACTGTCCTAGTTGCAGGCTGTGGTTAAACCACGACAGGATCAAAAGCATAGTTAAAAATCCAAGCCATTTACACTGGGAATTAGAAATTCAGAGCGCAGTAGCTAAACAAAGCTTAGGAACAGCTGTGACTGGTTTTCTATACTGTTTCTGTATTCTGGACTTCTACAGCAATTTATGTCTTCATATCAATTCCTCTTTTTACAGACTTCCTTTCCACTGAGAAAGGAAAGCTTATTACCAGTAACCCATGATTAAGACATTGTTTACATGAGCCTTCCAACAGAAGATGCACTTTGCCTGGCCACCCAAGGCCACAAAGTTTTCCTTTGCAGTATCCCTTAACTATTTCCTTTTCCCATCCTGTTCAGCTTGTGGTCTATAAAACAGTGGCAAGTATCCTAGTCTCTCAAGCCCCCTCAGATGCAGAATCCTGGAAGAGCCCTTGAGAGAGGAGAAAAATGCGGGTAGGAAATACGTGAAAGTGAACTGGCATCACCTTCAAACTTCTGGCTGAGCAGCTGGCCATCAGGAGCATTGCCAGTGGAAGAAGGGGGGACTGAGGGGTTACCAGGCTCATCTTGTGTCACAAAAGTGAGTCATGTACAGGCACACCAGGCTCAACCCCTTCAGGGCAAAGTCACACAGGATGATGTGAGATAGGAAAGCAGCAGTACTAAGACAACTCTTGCACAATGCAAGAATTTCAGCTGACTTCCACAGTGCCTTGCAGCCAAGCTGTTAAAAACTTCCCACAAGTTTGAATCTTATAGATAAGGGGAGGACCCCACTCTTGTTGTGGATCACACAGAGCTCTGAGAGATGAGACATGATTTTATCAAGATTTCTGATCCTGAACCTGCCGACTGATGGGATATTCCCTAGTGTGCAAGATACATACTGTGATCAGCTTTGTCAGTGGAAAGGAGCACAAGCAGCAGTTTCTCCATCAGCCTCTTCTCAGCTGAAGCACTGGAGAGGAGTTTTTCACAGAGTGATTACTTCCTCGGTTAAGAAATTGTCATCACTGCAAAATGACTGCTTGACACCAAAGCTGCAATTGAACAAGCGGCACCATACACAAGTTTCCCAGCAGAGAAATGTCATCACATGTATTGAGGCTCAAAACATTAGGCTGTATCTTACAGCACAAGAAAGTAAGAAAAGTGCCTGTTAGTTCTGCCAACAGGAAAATATTAAAGCTACTCATGACATTCAAACCCACAGACTGCATCAACAGAGGCAGCAAGTCAGAAAAAAAGGAATTATCTTTGATGTCAGAATAGTCTGCAACTTCAGCACCAAGACTTTGGTGATGCTCAAGGAGCTCTGAGCCAGAGACTCATCTTCAGCTGCTGTTTCAGCCACGAGTCCAAACGCCATTTAGGACCCAACTGGATTTTAGGCAGGAAAAAGGAGGAGTGTGAGCCTGACATTTGAGTGATACACAGACACGCTGCCTTCTCTGTGACAAAGTGAGTGATGGTGCCACTTAGTGTTGACCTCAACACAGACTGTGGCATCGGAAGGGGTGACTGCTTTACATGACAGAGATGGAGAAGGACATTCAGCTCCCATGATCTGGGACAATGTGCTACCAGCAGAAACTGAGGTGTAGGTGGACAAATCAGAAGGGTGGGGAACAGCTCGGTGCCAACAGCAGACACAATGCAGGCAATGCTAAGGCAGCCAAAACCACCACGTGGTCTTCTGATGCCAGGAAAGAGTCTGATCATCAACTCTGACAGTGCTTCATCTTCAACTTGGCTGGATGAGTTTCTGCACAAACCCTCATGGCACACAAGCTTAATGCTCCCCACCCATGCGTAGCAACAGCGATTCTTCCCAAATCCTCAGTCCTCCCTCAGACAGTACAAATACCTGGAATGGAACAGCTGGGGCACATGATCAAGACACAGAGGCAGAGGTGTGCAAACCCATGACACGAGGACACAGCATGAAACATCAGGCAGTAGAACACGTGGAAGGGGAGTTCAGAAGTGCAGTGACTGCAGGGGAGCCCTGCTTTCTACTGCCACCAACCAAGCCAGAGGAGTGCTAGTGCAACTCCTGTAGAAAACGTGCCTCGTGTAAAAGGACACAACTGCACTCACTCTTGGAAAGTGCATGTAAGCCTACTGAGTCCAAAAATATTTTGCAGTTATTTATCCTCCCACAGTAAGACTCCCGAGATCTCTTTCAAAGAAGCTGAAATGACCAGAAGTTTGGATCATCTGTCCAAAGCACTTCACCTGCTCTTTCCCACCTCCCTGCAAGGGAGATGTGGGACGACACCATGCATGCGCACACTGCGGAGGCACTCTAACTCGCTCCAACCAGCGTCCCAACACGTCCTCACATGAAACACAGACAAACCCCTCCAAATTTTCAAGATATTGCAAATACAAAATTTTAATTCTTTCATTAGTAAATCAAGTTCCTGTAAGATTACATGACAAAAAGGCTCATCTGCACATACACAGAAGAGCACAAAGACAACGACAGGTGGGGGAACCTGAGTAACACCCTTCCCTGGCTACTCCCAGGCCATCCCAGGAGCCACCAGCCCATCCAAGGCCCATTTCCACAAGCCCAGAGGCCCGAAGGCAGCTCAGGGAATGCAAGTTAGGTACGCAGAGGAACAGATATCCCATCTGGGCTCCTGCCAGGGCTGTCCCAGGGAAGCCTCAACCCCAGTGTCTAGTCAATGGGAGCAGCTCTCTGAAGCATCTTTTGGACAGATGGGAGGAACCAAAATCAGGCAAAAGAAGGGACTGAGATGATTTGGGGAGGAACAAACTGGGAAAACAGAGAAATAAAAGGCTAAAAAGGGCCAGTTGTACATGAACCGTTAGCTGGCCAATATACTTGTCTTTGTACCGAACTCCATTTCTAACTATTTTCCTGGGTGAGGGGCTCTATTCTGCATGTGCATGTGTGTATGGGGGTCTGAATACCAGCAGCTGGAGTGGGACCACCAGTCGCAGGGGCCTGTGTGCCACCAGCTGCAGTGATTGCAGGTGTGCACATGAATGTGTAATTAATAGCAAACATTAGGCCAGACAAACCAGCAAGAAGGTGGCCTGGGAGCAAGGGAAGGGGGCGTCTAAGGGCGAGTCCGCAGGAGCTGACTCCTGGAGGGACTGGGGAACCCTGCCCTACTGCTGGAAATGGGTATGGGGCTGTAGGCAGAGCTGTGGGTGCCTCTAGGCAGGAGGCACCTGGGAAGAGTAAGGATCCAGATCCGCTACGGGATGGAGAGCACACCCAAGGTGAAATAACGTGCATGTGTTATCTGTGTCCATGTGAGGAGGCCTGTACGCCTCAACCCCTGGGGCTGCAGGCCTCGGGGCTCATTTATCCCAGTGCAAGTAACCAGAGGGATGGGATCAAGGGGTCAGATATGGACCTGAGTATTTCCACTAGTGGTCCTTCACCCTGATCACCCAAGAGGGGAAAAGGATAAGCCTGCTGGTGCTGTTTGTGCGAGTGCAGTGCGTGTCCGCCTGTGTTGATCTGTGTGGTCGGCTGTGCATACATGCATGGTCTGTCTGTGTTTGCGTTTGCCTACCAGCAACACATTCCCAGCCTTGCTACTGCTTCCAGCTGGGGGGCTGGAGGTGTGGCAGCCTCTTCTCAGGCTTGCAGATCTGGCCCTGCCCCAACAGTTTAGTCAAAGGACGTCCTCAGCACAACCACACTCCCCATAGCTCCGCACCAGGGCACAAATACATGGAGTGACAGGGAAGTCAGCATTGGCATGCTTCCAAGGACAGGTGCCAAAAGGAAGAAGCCAGAAATATCAATACTTTCCAAATATCAACAGCAACACTTCTTTGTAGCCTTTTCATCCACAGATGTTAAAATTTTTACTCCAATTAAAAGTTACCACTTGGATTCATTCCCTTTGTCCTTAAGCACTGAGCCAAGGCACCTGAATTACAGTCGAGCAGCTTCCCTCATTATGCAACTAAAACAAGAATGAGCTTCTAGCAGCATTTTTCTCCATAGAGAAGCAGCCTTGAGCAGTCATTTTCCTCATTCAATTCTATCTAAATTTTACAACTGTGAAACACACCGCTCGTAAATGAACTGATGTGTTGCTCCCTCAAGTGTGCAAAATTACATTCTTGGGTTCACTGCAACTCTGAGGTGTTGCTGCAGTTTGCATGTCTGAGGGGTTAGAGCTATAGCAGCAATAAAGACAACTGCTAAGACCCCACTGAACATGTATCACTCCCACCCTGCGCTTATGACTATTCTTCAGTTTCTGTCTATGCTACCTACATTAAAATTAACATGCATCAACTAAGGCTACAATCATATTTCCAGTGGGAGTGCAGAAAACCATAAAGGAACTTAATTTGACCAAATCACTGGTTGAGGTTAGAGGGGCCTCTGCAGGTCATCTGGTCCAATCCCCTGTTCAGGCAGGGCCTCTTGGAAGCGGCTGCCCAGGACCATGTCCTGTAATATCTCCAAGGATGGAGATTCCACAACCTCCCTGGGCACCCTGTGTCAGGGCTTGGTCACCCTCACAGGGAAAAAGTGTTTCCTGATGTTCAGAAGGAATGTCCTGTGTTCCGGTTTGTGGCCATTGCCTCTGGTCCTGCCACTGGGCACCACTGAGAAGACCTAGGCTCTGTCTGCTTTGCAGCCTGCCTTCAGGTATTTCTATACATTGATGAGATCCCCTTGAGCCTTCTCTGCTCCAAGCTACACTGCATGTCCTGGTGCCTGGGGTCATTCCTCTCCAGGGGCTGGATTTTGCGCTTCCTCTGGTTGAACCTCATGAGGTTCCTGTTTGCCCATTTCTCCAGCCTGTCCAGGTCCCTCTGCATGGATGCGCAACCCTCTGGTGTATCAGCCACCCCTCCCAGCTTGGTATCACTTACAAACTTGCTGAGGGTGCACTCTGCAATTTGTGTATTGCACAAATGCCCACCAATGTGTTGGTTCCAGATACACACATCATCACTACTTTTTCATAGACTGTGAGCACAGCTTAAAAGTACAGAGTTACTGCCTATCCCTCCACTAGTTCTCAAAGACCAGATGAATAAGAAAGAAGATATGTGCAGATAAGGCATGCAGCAGAAAAGTCTTTATATTAACTGATTCTTACCTGTCTTGTTCAGGATCAGGGTTCATAGAGCACACCCAGCTATCAGGGTAATTCTTCTCCACTGAGCTCAGCTGGAATGGGAGAGTCCGCCATTTCAGACACACATCTGTTAGACAAACAATTTGCAAGTCAGAAATACACAGCCTGAGCAACAAAATAGTTTTCCTCCATAGCACTTCAAGTCCATTTAATGCCCAAGAACCACATCGATTTTCAAAGTATATCCAACGACAGTAAGACTGGTGGCCAAAAAGAAAGCGAGACAGCCAAAGGATATACTGAGTCAATTCTCACTTCATGCTCACAAAATGCTTGGAGGGAGACCTCAAATCTCATACAAGGCATTCATAACAAGGATCTGATGAAGCCTGGCATCAACTGATACTAGAGGACCTCACGCTCACTGCTGCAATGACAGCATGTACAAACCAAACTGAACAGCCAGTCCTGAAATCACTGCTCATCTCAGAAGTCAGGCTGTCTCTTACTGATATCAACACCAAACAAGTCAGCAATTTATCCACAAAAAAAATAATATAATTATCTAATAAATTTTAGATGAAGCAGGAATATAGATTTGACTTCCAGGACATTGCTGGCCTACCAGGAAACCAACAGCTTAAAAAAAAAAATAAATCAAGTTTTGCCAAGAAAATGCAAACGTTCTTAAATCAGGCTCTGGAAGGATGTCAGCAGCAGAGGACAAGAAGAATGACAGGAAAGCTGCTCCTCTTTGGGAGGCACTTGGAAAGGACTGAGAAAACCATCGAAGCAGGAGAGCCTAACAAAACACTTCCACAAGACTGGTCTCACATTCCTTGCTACAACCTCATCACCAGGTCCTGTGGGGAAAATGAGATTGTGAGAGTTTGCTGACCCTCTACTAAGAGACAAAGTGGTTGTGTTGAGATCTCCCTTGCTCCAGTAAGAACTTAGCCAGAGCTGTTTAGAGGTGCACAGGAGAGAACTTGTATTAAATTTGAAAATGGAAGTGGTTCCCTTTTGTGCTTATGCCTAGTATGTATTAGCAGGCCAGTGCATCACAATAAAAATCACTTGGCCACTTTCCATTGCCTACAGGGAAGTTTCTGATCTTATTCTTGTGTTGGGATGGGTGGCTTTGGCCAGTTCCACTTCCAGTGACATTTCTCAGCCCGTTCTCAACGCTGCTACTGGCCACATCTGCCCTGTTCTGTAAGGGCACCTGAAGAACATCATGGTTGGTAAACTGTGCAGGAAGGGAACCTTACGCCAAGATGTCTAAGTGTCCCATCAAGTGCAGACAAAGGCAACTCACAGAAGGAGACAAGCCCTAGAAGGGGATAATGATAGCGAAGCTCATCTCAAATCTCCTGCCCACGTAGCTGCTCCCCAACTGCAGCCAGGAGTCCCTCCCACCTTCCCCAGGGAAGACCAGCATCCTAATCGCAGCCTGGCTGCACGCACCGCACTGAATTGTGGTAGGAATCTCCATGGCTCTCCGGCGTTTGTAGCGCAGTTCACTAGATGGAGGCTGGTTCCAGTTTGCTGACAAATAACCAAATTCATCCCAGAACTTGATGATACCTCTCTGGGCTGGAAAACAAGTCAGTCCCCACTCAGTATGGAGCCATTACAACAAAAATCACTCTTGCCTGCCCTCCCTCTAGCTGCCTTCCAGCCAACAAAGTTACCCCTTCCAGCCCCTGGTAATTGTGAAGCTTCGTTACCTATAGCAACATCCTTCCAATACTGAGCCAAATGCTCTCCCATGGCTTTCAGCAGGTGTCGATACTCTTTGGCATCAGCAAAGTCTTGTTTATTATGGGTTGGCTCCAGGACCAAATAGGGCACATCCACCACACCTACGACTCCACCACATGCCCTGGAAGAGGCAAGTCACAAGCGTCATTAAACCACGAGGTCGCTGTTCAGAGAAACAATATTGAAAACAGCAAATTATGGGAGTGCGTGCATTCTTGCAGCGGTACTGGTTTTAATTTATGAGCTTTCTAAATCAGACTCGAGCTGGAGTGCAAAAAGTAAGGTGGGCTCAAATGTCTGTATTTGCTTTCAAGACCTATTTGCCCTGTCGCTAGAATGCAGCAGTATTCCTACCAGTATTCATCAACCCCAAATGCCAGCACTGAGCACAAAAACCTCATACTGGTATGACCAAAATCTGTGCAAAGACCTCTCTAACAAGAAACCAGGGAAATATTGGGCAATATCAAATATAAAACTTATTTGTTAGAATCCAGATGAACGGCTGGCAAAATGAGTAAGCCTCGTGCTCGTGAAGAATGATTAATGCAGAACAAGGTTATTGCACAGCCTAAGTTACATGTAGGAACAAGCCAGGCTTAAGCAAAAAGATTGCTGAAAAATATCCAGGAACTCACATGCCACCCTCCAGCTGCGGGCCCACCTTCTCATACATCTTTATCAGCCGACTGCAGTTATAAATGAACATGCCATCCAATTCACGCTGTTCAATATTCACACCAAAGATAAAATTCAGTTCTTTGGGTTCCTTCAGTGCCCTGTGAATAAAACAGAGCCTCAGAGATGTTGAAAACCAAATTAATTACCTGCTGCCATTAGACAGTGGGTATGGAAATCCAGCACCTTTGAGCATTATGGGTTTACTAACACCTGTCCTGTAGTCTGTTATTTCTAAAAAAAACAAGAAGCACTTGTTGAATGTGCATTACAACTAAAGAAGAACAAAATACAGAAACTTTGCAATATAGGCACCAATTTAGGCTGAACAATATCTGTTCAGATAATTTAATTATTCATTTGGATATGTTTTCTCCTTCAGGAATGGTTTTTGGTTTTATTTCAGATCTGCTTGTTCAAAACATTACAGTTAACTAGTTTTATGAAAGTACTGTTAGGTACAGACTGGTCACCTCCAATGCTATTCTGGTTTGTATTTTCCAGATGCAGATCTCTATGCTAGATAAAGCACGGAAATTAAGATTTTGATATAAAACTACAGTCTTCAAATTCAGATTCTGGAAAAGTTCTTGTAATTGCATGCTATTACTCTCAGTTCAAAAGCTAGAAGATACGACACACAGCCCAAGCAGAAATTTTTTTCCGGACATGATGGCATAGCTATTTGCATGATTTATACTTTATCTATGCAGCAGATGACTTCAACAAAAGTTGGCCTCAAGTACGTTTGTGAGCACATGCAGATTTCTGAATTGGAATCTGATTATCAGGAATTGTATCTCCTGCGACGCAGAAAGCCTCAAGAGATTTAGATCTCTTGGCGTTATAAATCAAACAAAATCCCCGTGTCTCACCAACAGAACTATTGCTCTTTAAAAGATTAAATTAAGTAGATTCCACAGCTTCCATCAAACCCATGCTGAGGATTTTTCATGGTAAGGATTCTCACAGTTTCAGGCTGATGGTGTCATCAAACGTGAGGTCCAAACTTTTAGCTAGCGCAAGGCATAGTCTAAACCACTGTCCTACCTACACCTCTCATTTTTGACCTCCCTTATTTTTCCTCCCACATCACATTCTTAGCACTTATGTGCTTTATCCCAATTAGGAATTTGACTTCTCCTTAAGTGATCAGTTGAAGATAGTGGAATTCTTCAAAATGATCTGTTGACTGTCTACTAATATCAGATATTAAAAGAACCTGAGCTGTGCATGCATGAGCACTGCACGTTAAGAATATGAAGAGGTATGATGTAAATCTGTCTTAATGGTCAAGCATCTAAAAATAAATCCCTGAAATTCATTTCATGTTCATTTTCTGTTTAAAGCCATCCTCTTCCCCACACAGATGTGTAGTTACCTCGTAACACAACCTCCTTTAAAACAGATGACTCTAAAATAAGTTACTAGGAAACCACCTGGTATAGCAGCTTTCAGTAGTTTTAAACGTAAAACTTCGCCAAGAGGTGTTTTGAACACTGCCAGTATAGAAGCTGGGCTATAACACTACTCCTTTGGTCTTAGCTCATCCAGGCAGACAACTGCAATTTGAGAGCATGAGTAGATGTGGCAGAACACCCATCCTGGGGATTAATTTTCTTTTTCTAACTTCTGGAAAAGGATGGACAGCCTTAAATTTCAAGTAACACTGTGCACTCAGCTACAAAATAGGAAGGGCATCTCCTCATTTTCATCAGAGAGCACAGGAAGTCAAATTATCATCCAAACCATGGAAAATTACGTGATGGGCCAAAAATCCAGGATTTTATTACTAGGACTTTAGTATCTGTCCTATCCACTGGATTTATAACCTGACCTTACACAGGCTTTGGAAACCAGAAAGCATTTCTTTCATTGATGCACCCAGCACCAGAGAAATAGCAGAAAACTCCTAGAACATTCTCTATAACTCAAGCGTTTTCTGAGAAGCTACAGAAATTGTTTTGTACAGGAGGTTTCCTATTATACACATTTTTCAGGAATTTCTTCAGTTTACTGGATAAAGTAGAAAACTATGGAAAAGCCTGACCCTCTGAACTGTCTCTGATCACTGGTGATGAATGTAGGGATAGTCCTACGCCTGCCCTGAGCACCCAGCAGCTCTTGCCCAGGAGCACACATAGCTCAGTCTGTACAGAAATCCAGACAAAAGGCCTTTTCCTCTGCTGTTGGTTTGCTGTCGCACACATCTGCTTTCTTCACCATCACATTTGAAACCTGACTAGAGTCATTGATGATCTGGATGAAGGGATAGAGTTTACCATCAGCAAGTTTGCTGATGACACAAAACTGGGAGGAGTGGCTGACACGCCAGAAGGCTGTGCCGCCATACAGCGAGACCTGGACAGGTTGGAGAGTTGAGCAGGGAGAAACCTGATGAAATTCAACAAGGGTAAGTGTAGGGTGCTGCATCTGGGGAGGAATAACCCCATGCACCAGTACAGGTTGGGGGCTGACCTCCTGGAGAGCAGCTCTGTGGAGAGGGACCTGGGAGTCCTGGTGGACAACAGGATGACCATGAGCCAGCAATGTGCCCTGGCGGCCAAGAAGGCCAATGGCATCCTGGGGGGCATCAAGAAGAGTGTGGCCAGCAGGGCGAGAGAGGTCATCCTCCCCCTCTACTCTGCCCTGGTGAGGCCGCATCCGAAGTACTGCATCCAGTTCTGGGCTCCCCAGTTCAAGAAGGACAGGGAACTGCTGGAGAGGGTCCAGCAAAGGGCAACGAAGATGACTAGGGGTTTGGAACATCTCTCATATGAAGAAAGGCTTAGGGACTTGGGTCTCTTTAGTCTAGAGAAAAGAAGATTGAGGGGGGGATCTTATTAATACTTACAAATACTTAAAGGGAGGATGCCACGGGGATGGGAGCAGTCTTTTTTCAGTGGTACCCAGAGATAGGACAAGGGGTAATGGGCATAAACTTGAACATAGGAAGTTCCATCTTAACATGAGAAGGAACTTCTTTACTTTGAGGGTGGTGGAGCACTGGAACAGGCTGCCCAGAGAGGTTGTGGAGTCTCCCACTCTGGAGACATTCAAAACCCACCTGGACGCTGTCCTGTGCAACCTGTTGTAGGTCACCCTGCTCTGGCAGGGGGGTTGGACTAGATGATCTCCAGAGGTCCCTTCCAACCCTAACCATTCTGTGATTCTTTGATAACCTTTTGACATATCTACAATTGGGGTATTCTTCCAAAACAGCTGGTTTACATTTTAGGTTTAAATCTTAGATTTAAACAGAAAGAACTGCTGAAGAAAACTTGGAATCTGTCATTTCTGACATTTCTGACTAGTTAGTCAATAAAGGGTGTAGAGAAGCTATTTTCAAACAAACTTGTATTGTCTGAGTTCTTTGTTTGTTATTCAGCTTTTTAAAATGAAAAAGTATTTCACCCATTCACAAAATTTCACTTTATGCACTAATGTCATCAAAATGAAGAATTAAAAGACAAGCTGTACATGAAAAAGTACATGGAAGCTGAAGAAAACAGCTTCTCCCGAGAGTTCTTTCAGATCACAGCTCTAGCACTTTTAAATTAAAGCTTTATTTATTTATTTATTTACTGCATCTTAAGATGCATTAGAACTGTCTCTGGCAACAAGTCTGGGATAGTTCTCACCTAAGCAGCCATGTAAACTAGCATGCAAAACAACCAGGTTGGAACGGAGACTTGGTATATACTTTCTCAGGCTCAGCATTTGTTTAAGAGCATTTGTTTCTGGTTACAACTTCATTTGTGAAATGCATATGACAAATTTGCAAAAACACCTGTATACAAAGATCGAAGTGTTCCTGTGAGTACATTGATAGTGAAGTTAATAGCAACCAGAGCTAAGTTAGAACAATGTCTTGGGATTTCACAGCACTGACTATAACTGAACTCAACAAGTTTTCTAAAAACATCTCTACAACTCTAAAAGCCATTTCACTGTAATTGCTAACATTTTCTTTCCCCCCCCAACCTCACCTGCAGAACAAAAAGTAAAAGAGTGAAAAAAGTTGATGTGAGAATCAGGTAAACATCTACAGAAAACAAGCCAAATCAAAGTTGTCTTTCAGCAAGTTAAAGGAGAATAGCAGAACCAACCAGAATAGCAAACTCGGTCTGCTTGGTTTAACAGCCAGGGCATACACGCTGCCACAGATTTGAGCTTTGAGCTGAACTGCTCAAACTTGCTCCAGCACTCAAGCAAAGTAGGAGAGACATCTGAGCACATGGGGTGAATAGACTGGGAAAACCCGAGCTTTGAACTACCTTGCACTCACCGCTGCTTTGCGTCCTTGATCCTTTTCTTGACATCAGCCTCCCGGCGCATGGTTATTGCAGAGTTTTGGACTTGCCGTAGCGTCACCTGCAAACAGGCATCACACAGTAAAAGTGCTGCTGTGAAATTCATGAAGTTAACTCACTTCTGTGATTTTTCCCCCTTCAAGAAGAAATAAGCAATGTTTTAAATGTGAAGAATTCATGATGGAGGGTGAAAATCAGTACGCCTTTACATTTAGGGCTGTTTAAGCAGTTACTTGGAAGAAAATGTGTAAGTATAACTAAAGGTCTAAGGTAACTGAAACCAGAGGGTAATGGAGGTAGAGGGAAACAGCCAGGGTACTTGGACACTGTTGCTTCCTTCAGATGTCAATAGGAAGGACAGTGATTTTAAGCTGGTGTCCCCTGGTGACCCACCTGGGGTCCCCACAAGCCCTCCTCCCACCCAGCAGCAGGGTCTCAGCCGCAGTCCCACTGGGAAGAAGCAAACAACCCCTCTCCGAAAGCCCCCACCAAACGCTTCGGAGCCAGCTGTGCAGGCAGGGACAAGGAAAGGCCAAAAAGCACCCAATTTTACTTCTGTTCATACCCCTTATGTTTCCCTGGCCTCTCCTGCAGAGGCTGACAGTAAACAAAGCACCTGGGGCTGGGGGTTGCCTTGCCACTCAGGATGTACTAGAGCTTGTGGGTAGGGGAACGTCAGCACGCTTCCACTTGGACTGGAGATCATGTCGGTGTTGAAGCACATGCAGTGGCGATGAGACCACAGAGCTGCCCGAATGCTGCTGGCAACGCACTCCTGACTGAAGCCTGCCTAACCTACACACCAGGTGCTACCACCACATGCTGACCAGCCAGCGCAGCTCCAAAGACAGCCCTGCTCCAGAGCCAGCATTCCGAACCATCCCTCAGTGCCTAAATGGCAACATGCTGCCAAAGCACAAGGCTCACCCTGGACTCCCGCGTGAGATCCCCTCCTAGGCGCAGCTCCAGGGCACGGGCTTTACTCTCTGCCTCACGAGCCTTCTCCTCCGCTGAAACACACAGGGAAAAGGATGATGTCAACCATTCAGCAGAGACAGCGTATCATAAGGCATTCACCTGAGGAGACCGATTTCCAGAGAACCTTTGCTGGACTGACACGTACAAAGGTACAGAGGTAACACAAAAAGGTACAGAATAAAGCCTTACACATGAGAGGGCACCACTGACATGACATCCATAACTTGCTCAGAGGTCGCAGTCAACACCAGCATAATAGGGGCTAAACTCTGTAAAAGCATGTTTAAAGGAAGGATCCATGAGGAAGTTACAAGGAACTGGAACAAGTAAGGATCCAAGTGGCCCTGCCTGCTCTGCCCAGAAGCGTGAAGGCAGAGAAAGGCTCTCACAAAACGAAGACTAAGTTCAGGCTTGAAAAGGAGTTACAAAGAGGTAATTTTCTTGCAGAGGTGAAGGGATAAGACTACTCTCAGAAATGCTTTTGTCTTTGATAATTGCTAAATTTTTGCCTGGAAAAAGACAAATCTGTTACACAAAAATCGGACACAGTGTTCTGAAAACCTACCACTACACCTGATTTTTGCACCTACGAAGTTTACCAACTTAAAAAAACCTCCCTTTTTCGCTTCTCTCCCAGACTACAAACAAGACTGCCTGGCAATAGGTACACGTCACCCTCACATTGCTTAAGATTCATTGAATAAACTTCATTTTCAGCAAGGAGATCCGTTCCTAAAATTGAGATACAAGGTGCTTTGGTAAATTAGCACCATGTACCTTGCATCTGCATGCTCTCCATCCAAAAGCACTTTGGTTACAACCCTCTCACATTCCCTTTCATGTCAGAAACCTGTCCTGCTCACAGGCTATGAGGTCCACAGGGGTAAACGTGGACTAGCAAGTAATGCCATGTTTAGGCATGAAAAGTCAGAGCTGCAGCTGCCACCTGCAAGCACCCAACTCAAGAAGGTGTGCTGTGGATGCAGCACTGACCTTGCCATGATGCTGCCCACACTCACCTCTGAGCATGGAAATTTCTGAAAGAGGATGCAGCGACACTGCAACTTTCATAAACTGTGAAGACTTCCAACAGCAATAGGCTGGTATAAATGAAGTGTGAACAGAAATGTTTACGTGCAAGATGACTAGAAGAAGCGATAAAGCATGTGTTGAGAGAGTGGCATGTGCACACACCATTTGTGACAGGCACAGACACGATCTGGACATACAAATGGTATGTGCTGATGGTGTGCTCACACCAAGGCGAGAAGCACGACTGCACCTTGTAGCAGGAGGGCGGCAGCACGGCTGTAGCACACCCTATGAGCCATCTCTCTCCCTGCTCTCCCAACAGGCTACGAGATACCCACACCAAAGAAACGCAACAGTGGAAGAGCCACCTTGCCTAAGGTTTGCAGAGGATGAGGTAAGCAAGAAGATGACAGGATAGCTATTGTCTCTGAAGAGATTACCAAGCATCTCTCCAAAAATCAGCACCAAGCTGCCAGCCAGAAGGAATCCAGACGCTGTAACCAGTGTTTGATAACAGGTATACAGTGTTCTCCATGCCACAGTCAGCATTACTTGCTGAAATGGACATTTTTGGCGTGTGCAGGTACAGGAATGCAAATGGGCACAGTCAACTTACTTCGACCATTACAATAAAAATCAACTTTCCTTTCTATGCAGTGTTACATTGGAGTTTTGCTCCATTCATTCCCACAGAAGCACACTGAGGTTCACAGCAGCTCACCAAGCAAGTCACAGCAGAACTGCACTGTGCAACCGACTTCATCATCAAGAGACTGCTTGGCTAACTGTGAAAACACAGGAGTTGAGACTTCTTAAAACACTTGGTCCACTTAAATCAAAGCTTGTATGGTAGAAGCTGTTGGGCTAAGAACAACTGGGTCTAGAGGGGAGAACACAGTGATGACATAAGGGCACAGGTGAAACCTGCTCCACTAATGCAATGACAACTGAGAAGGCATGGCTGACAGGGAACAATTTGGTTATGAGTGTGAGGGTTGGGGCCCTAAGGGGCAAAAATGCATGCCCTAAGTGGGATGACGAGCATACAGCAGCCAAAATCCACATTCACATCCTCCCAGAGGACAACAGGCATGGCATACCTATGATAGTGCCAAGCACGCCACTGGACATGCTAAAATACTCCAGAACTAATATCCAGCGCGGAACATAGCTGCTAATGACCTTCAGTATTGGACACCCACATAACTTTTCTATTTGTTTGCTTTTAACTTTTAAGAGGATTTCCTGAAACTAGGAGATGGCAATACCAAGATGCCTTGGTGCAGTATTCAGTCTTGGTTCAGAAATACACAGAAAGCACACTGCTACCCTGCACAGGACTGGTACGTTTTTCCTGGGTCCATCTGCTCACTTAGGGATCTGGATGCTACAGCTTCTCGCAGGAAGTCAGTTTCCAGGGAATGAAGAGTGGCTTTTCCTCATCTTCAATGAGGATGAGCATATGTCCTCGCTCCTGAGCTGTGGCTCTTCTTGCATGTGCCCAAGCCATGTCACCAATAGTCATAGCTGCCCATGTCTTCCTCCCCTCCCTCCCCCAACTACTTTTGGGTTATCATAAGTTTTGGCTCAACAAGCTCATAAGCTACTTCTAGAGCCTCATCAATCCCTCAGTAGAGTTCTGCAGTATGACGGATTCCGACATGTCCCTGGCAGGCAGACATGGCATACTGGAACCGCAGTTAGCCCAGCTGAGACCCACTGTTTCTCACAGTGCACCCCTAGTTCTGAAAGAGAAAACTGCAAATCATTCCCTGGTGAAGATCCCTCCTAAAAGCGGTGCACATTCTCAAGAGAAAACGTATGCTGGAGATGATGAGAAATTAATCTTTTCTATCAACAGAAGAACAAGAGAACTTGGCTGTTACAGATAAAATTCATTTGCCTAGAAGCAAAGAAATGAGATCTGTGCCACTGAAGATGAAGTTAATTCTACACGAATGTTTTAGTCCTGGAGGCTTCATGTGATCAAATCTCGCAGAAAACAGTCTCAGGTCTCCCGTGAGTTTTCACCACCACGTGCAAAGCCCTGTGCTCAGCATCCTTGTCTCCGTGCCAATGGTATCTGTTCTTAGCACTGGGACATAGACTGGCAGCATTCTTTAGTAACCAGACACTTAAGCTCACCTTTTAAACATCATGAAAGCCTCATGGACTGCTGCAAGAAAGAAACCTCTCTATATCATGGTATTTACACCTTCTTGAAGGCAATGCAAGTGTGTGCTGATCGCCTGCTCTGGCTATAGGACTCAATCTAAAAAATAAAGTCATCTATGAGGACTGAGGCACAGGATAAAATCTGCTTAAATTTCATAGTTTCAAGTCTATCTTGTTAGGCTGTACTTCATAAAGGAGGAATGGGGAAACATAGCAATTTACACAATTTTATTTTGCTGTTTTGCTTTGGGCAGGGTCAAGATCACACTGCCCTTAATGACTCGGCACAGGCTGAACGTGGCCCTGCCACTTGCGTATCTCACCTGCACAAGTACGCACACGTGCCTATAGCAGCTCTTACACAGGGAGAGATGAGACATGCGTCTGACTGATTTATGAAGTTGATTCATGAAACCTACCAGAAGATATAGGTCAACATGTCTTACAACTTTCAAGATTCCTTCTTCACTATGGCATTTCCCCATCAGGGATTAGGGAGACTACTTTGTATGTTAAATTTTTGCAAATTTAATGAAGTTACATGCTGTATTTATGTGCTTATGTGATTTCTATGCGCTGAATACCCAATAATGTCAAATTGGGTTTCTCCTGAGGACTACAGAACTTAATAGCAAGGGAAGTCTAGATGGACAAAAGGTATGTCATGAAGGGCGGAGAAAAAAAAACAAACCAGAAACAAACCAGGACTCCCTTGTACACCCAGATCAGTTGCTTTACATCAGATGACAGAATAAAAAACGGTATTTTGAACAACTGCCTTAACAGGGAAGGAGCAGAAGGAAACCAGAACCAAAAGGTAATGATATGCAAAACGTGAGAGCAAAACTGTGGAGTAACAGGGCGGCAGCTTAGCCAGGCTTCAGATGGAGCAAGGGCAGACAACTGTGATTCCAAGGGTTATTCTGTACATGTATTTCCCTGGAGAAGTGGTCTTAGGGAACAGTGTACCTTCCTTCCATCGCATGGAAATAAGTCTGGGTCATCTGTAGTCACTGTAATACCTAATTTCCTGAGCAACCGTGATGCTCACAGAAGCAAGCAATTTCAGGTCATATCCAGCAAGGCAGGCTCTTTCAGTCCTTTTCTTTGCTACAGCAAAATCAGGATGCATGCATACCCCGAAGACTCACCTATCCTCGCCATGTGCTCTGCTTTCTTCACCTCTTGCTCTGCACGAGTCTTGAAACGGTTTGAAGTATATTTGTACATCCTGTGATGATCAAAACTTAATAATCAGCAAACTCAGCAGTAAGGTCAAACCAAGATTTCATCACTGTATGAGAGAATAAGGTCTCCACATGCTACTCTACTCTTCTCAATAGATTCAATAAATGGAGAAGGAGGTTTACATATCAGACTGGACATTTTTGGATGCAGTTTGGCAAAAACTTTTTAAGACAGAGATGCTTTAGTAGTAGCTGCAACTGCAATAACCCCTTCTGCATTAGCCGGTGGGGAGTAAAATATCCATATTCTTGGAAGAAATCCCAAAGTTTAGAGAAATAACTTCTTCAGAAGCAGACAGGAGGAGTGAATATATATAGGGAAAGTTTCTCAAAAACCTCCCATTACAGATAAATAACCCTTCCTTTCTCCTGCACACAGCTGTCTACACGTACAGTCTGACAGTGCCTGTCTCCACTCAGGGCTAGCTCAAACCTCCAAGTGGCACAGCAATTCTCTGAACAGAGCTTCAAGCTTCAGGATATTTCTGTATGCTACACATCTGACAGACAACCTTGTAAACTGTGCTTGAGTTGCAGTGGCTTGTTTCACCTTCCCTATATCGTAAACATGCCAAAATGCAGATCCCAATCTGAGTGACTACTGCGGCGTGCAAGAGGCCGCACATATAAGACACAAAAGCTTGTGAGTATGCATCACCTCTGTGCAGAGGCATGTAACTGGGCGAGAGAGATGACACCACGAAGGAAATTCAGAGCCTGCAGGAACTCAAATTGCCTTAACACACAAGGGCTTGGATGTATTGAGAGGAAAATCTCATCCCAAAGAACTTTTTAGGAAAAAATAAACCTCTCCAGCATTTAGCCAAAGCAAAAGCCACTAGAGCTGTTTTTACTGAGAGAGGCTGAAAAACATACAGACGTAAGGTTTGATTGACCAGCTCATTAATGTAGGAGGAACAACATTTAGATCCCAATGAGAGACAAGATCCCCCCAAATGGCCGATAACCTATCAGGATCCATGAGAAATCACCTTGCACAGATGAAAAAAAATCATTTAGGTATGTTTCTGTGGGAGAGCACACATGGATGTTGATACTGATGTTAGAAATTATCTCACCAACCCTTGTTCCCCAATCCACAAAATTCCTATCTCAAGCACAGTGCACTTAAATACATTTCTGCATTTACTAAATTAGTTTTCTGCTATAAGTATCTCCTCACTGGGGAAAACACAGGCAGGTGCTAGCTCTTCCAGAAATCACCCTATAACCGTGGTAGGAGATGCAGAGTCAGGTTTTTGGCAGCACCATCTCCCCAAATCAACTTAAAGGCAATTAAAACTACCTGGGGCCAAGAGAGAGAACATATTCTGAAAACCAGACTGCTTTTGACATGTTGGCATAATTAAATTACCTCACCCACATCCTGCCTGACTTTTCTGACGGAAAGAAAAGGGAAAAAAAAAAAAAACCAAGAAGCAGGGTGAAGCTGAATTATCTCAGCGCACCCAGCTCGTGAGGCAGGGCAGTACATGGAGAGGACAGCAAGGACAGCAGCCCCTCTGCAACAGGGTGTGGTGCGAGCAATTGCAGGGTGTCCCAGATAGGCACCATGAGCCATCACCGTACCTGCCCTGCTGTTTCACATTCTTTTCCAACACCAAGTGACTTCAGTCACAGCCAGGAAAGCCCCTATTCAAGTGGTCTGGAACAGCGTATGTAGCAAAGACGTACGAAAAAAGGTCGGACAGACAAGAAGTCTGCAGGACACACTAGTAAAACACACTCTCCCAACTTCAAGACGTTTATTATGACTACCTTGGAGTGCCCTTGTGAAGGGACATCTTTGCACATGGCCTGGCTACTTCTACCTGCACAGCCTGTGCTGCTAAACAAGCCTGAACAGTTGCTGTGGGAGGGAACAGATGGAAGTGATCCTTCAGGAGACAGGAACCGCTCCCAGAGAGGCTGGTACTGTGGTATCACATCTGCAAACAGGGGTGAAGGATCTGCAAAAAATCAGCCTGCCCCTGCCACTGGGATGTTACAGGCTCCAGAAAGGTATGGAGAAGCCCCTACCCACAGAAACATGGCTTCCAGAAAGGGCAGGTGACAAAAGGAAAACAAGTGCCCTGCTCAGGAGACAAGCTGTTATTCCTGACGAAGAACAGTGCGCTGGCTGCAAAACCTCAGCTTTCAGTAAAGGCACTTGAATACCCTAAAGCCCATGATGTATCTCCATTCTTTGTTCTCTAACACCAACCCATTAACCTGCAGACAAGCCCTTGTACAAGCTTTTCCTTCAGAGATGAAGGTAATCTGCCACACAGCCCTACTGTTGGAGGGGAGCCACCACCTCCTGAAGGCAATCTCCCTGAGCAGATCTTGAAAGCAGACCAGAAGGCAGACAGACAAGCCAATGGCTGTACCTACCAATGTCCAACCTAAGGCATGAAAGCATCACTGCCAACAGAAATACACCTGGCCCAAAGTTCACCAAAAAGTATGTAAAGAGACTGCAAACAGGAGTCGTGTGTCAACTCACCATCAGGTAATGACCTGCCCTTTGCATGCTCAGCTGGTTTACAACAGACTTCCTTATAAAACCAACAGTATGGATGGACAGAGGTGTCTCCATACTGACAGACGAATGGCACTCCCTTACAGTAGTTCACTGGCCTTTATCAGGATATGAATAAAATTAACACCTGGCTCAGGCATCATGACACTTTGCAAAAGACTAGCAAAGAGCCCTTCGGTACGTACCACACACAGCACACCATCTGCTTGGGCTGTAAGACAGGAGAACCTTCACTGCCTGTTACCCACCCCTTTGGTGGACCAGGGAAGTTCAACAGTTACCTAGGCTACTGAGGCTCTGCAAAAAACAGCTATGCTAAAGAGCCGAGCATCACTGCAGCATCAACTGTGCTCTAAAGGAACACCTTAATGGTGGTACACCTCCCCTGTGCACCCCCATACAAATAGGGAGTCCCTGCACAAATGCAGGGGAGTAGTATTAATCTGCAGAACACCCAATGTCCAGTAGCTAAATGGGGATGTGTGAGCTTTGGCTCCAACTGTAAAGAGAAAATCCAGGGAATAAGCAACACTTTTCTGCAGGTTCAGGGAGAAAAAAGAAAAAAAAAAAGAATCACCTATAGCTGTAAAAGCAGAGTAACTCCACTCTCAGAAAGGACTGATTTACTGTTTTTTGCCTGGGAAAGAGCCACCAGGGCAGCCTAAGTTCTGGTCAGGTGTCTGAAGGCAAAATACTGAGTCTACCCAACCTGTCCAGGGCAGAGAGTGGGCACCTACCCCAAGGGCTGTGCTAGCTCTCAGAACCCACAGTGAAGGCTTTGATGGCTCGTCCTGATGGCCGTGCAGCTTCCGGAGCCCAAACTTGGAGTCAGGAGTGGGGATTTTAAGTGTAAATGTCTTTACAGTGTTGAGGAATTTTTATCGACCTACCACTGTAAGCACATCTACAAGGAGCCTGCAAAGATGTGGCACAATCAGATTTGTTAGATACACCTGCACCGGCATTGATCCCATGAGCATCAGCATTCAGAACCTCAGCCCAGCCTTGGGTTCATCCGCCAGCACCAGCTGCATTTACTGCAATTGGCCCCTGAGCTTGTTATGAGACAGTAACACAGCATTTCTTATCTCATCAGCCAATGTAACATATTTGGTGGTTGGGCTTTCTTGTCCTCCATGCCAGATCATCCCTTGGTCGTGAATTACCATTCCTGAGCAGTTACAATTTGAATTTCCCCTTCTACAGCTGCAACTATTCCCCAAAATCAATGAAAAGCAGATACAGAATTGCTGATAGGGACCTAGAAGAGCTGCTGTCTAAATTGTCTGAAAACGCAGTCTCTTTTCAACAGAAAACAGTCCTATGGTATAGAACAAAATTCTCATATCCCTCCCTAGGCATTGACTACTGACCACTTGAAAAACATACTGAGGCAAATGAACATCTGGAGTGACCTGATCCATGTTATACTACCATGACCATGCTAGCAATCCCACAGCAATGGCACCCTGTCTTCGAGTCGTGCAAGAAGCTGGTCTCTGATGAGAAAAAACCTGTGCGCTTTCCTCTGCTTTCTCTCCACAGTACTTTTATTGGACTGCTGCACAAGAGGAAGCAGCACACGGGACACTCATGCAGGTAAAATGCAGTCAGAAATGCAGAGATTCTCTACCCAGCAAATCAGGATTTACAGTGGCAAGTCAAGCTGCACCTACCCACTGCCTTCTACAATGAAACAACTGGCTTGGTCAACAAGAAGAGAGCAGTGGATGTAATCTGTCTTGATTTCGGTCAAGTTTCTAATACCATTTCACACATTTTCATTTAAGAAGCTGAGGAAGTAAGAGCTTGACAGACAGACCATGTTGTAAGTTGAAAACTGGCCAGGCCCTTAGAGCAGCAATCAGTGGCCTAGCATCGGATCGCAGTTAGTAAGAGTACCCAATGGGCTGACAGTGGGCCCATACTATTGGAACACTACTGCAACCCAAAATGCTATATTAAAACAATCTGCAAATACTCTATAAAATTACTATTATTTTATTAAAAGAAATCACATTAAGGTATCTAGAATGCAGCCTGTGTGCTCCCAGGAACACTATTGCCTCAGGCAGACCTCTTCCTTTCTCCTCCCATTCCTATAACCTTTCTCAGTCCCTGTTAAGCCAACTGCCAGCACAGCTCAGCTCACCTTCAAATTTTTTGTTTAAGGGAATTTAAAAGGAAGATAGGGAAAGGTATTTCCCAATCTCTATTCAAACCTAGATCAGCTACATGTAAAAATTAATTCTTAAAGCAACTGTTCCAAAGTGCTTAGTCTAGTTTCTTTTCAGTAATAATTCCAACATCTACAATACATATTTCCTTGACCTACTTTAAAGAAAAACCAAACAGTTACCCAACTGTTTGGTATGGATATGGCATTCTGAACAATCAGTATCTTCATGTCTTTGTTTGCTCTGAAAGGGAGACAAATTGTACAAATTACTCATGTGATTTTCAAAGGTATTAGATTTGACTATCTACCTCTTTTCACATGATGTTAATACCACATCACATTCTCTTATGTTCTGTTTCTGTGACTTTAACATGGAATTATGCAGGATACACCTGGAGAGAAAAATGCTAAACCTTTCTTTAAGAAAACTCCAAAAGGTCCTGAACGTCTGCAGACTTTGGGTCCAACACTTACCTTGGCTTGTACAGGCAGCACGAAAGTCGTTTTGTTTGTACTTTGTGTCCATTTATGAAGATCCTCATTCTGGGATCAATATAAAGCACAGCAGCATAGGCACGGAAGGAACGGCGCTCAGGCTTTCTGCAAGAGAGGGATGCTTACAGAGACTGAGCAGTTTCTTCAGCATTTCCTTGTAGGACTGCCAGCAGACATTCTCCCAGTCTGGGCCATGTAGCCCAACGATAACTCCATCGATTCACCCCCCGAGTAACCAGTGCCTCTTTAGTCAGAGCGCTCATCCTTTCAGTCTGCATTCTGCTTCCTCTTTCCTTTGCAGTTTTTGCCTCTTCATTCCCCTCCAATTAAGATCCATGACATACTACTGTCACAAAGCCTCCTCCTCTATCCGAACCAAATGAACAAGTTTCTCCAAACTTGTAAGATGCTCATTTCCTAATAAACTGCTACCCAGGAGCCAAGTGACCAACAGAAGCACCTCCCAACGCTGCTCTGCGCTACCCCTAATGTATTTTAAGCACCTATGGCAGGATTCACACAACCGTAACTGTTACCTTCTCAGCTCACAGACATCTACTTCAAAACACACTAAAGAGACAGCCTTTGGCAAGAAAGCTAGGTAAAAGAAAAGGCCTTTCTATTTTAAACTTTTTCTACTTATGCCTTCTACAGAGATTTTCTATTGAGCTGTACACCTTAAAATACCGTTACAAAACACTGATGCACGTATTACTGTAGCTTGAAAGGATATTTTGAATACAGCTGGATAATAAAGGTCAAACCTACACATTGGACCATTTAACACTGTGTGCCCCACTTGCTAGTGCCTTCGCTTACCCTTCAGTTAAGTCATGAGTACACTCTGACAGAAACTGCACTGATCACACACAGAAATGGTATCACAAGGTCAGGAGGAAGAAGCTTCTTTCAGTGATCTGCAAGAGTCACAAGGCAACTCTTGTCATATCATAGAGACCAGGGAAAGGGTCCTTCCCAAGCAGATCAGGGAGCGGGTCCTTTTCAGGCAGTGTCAGCACAGGAGGAGGAATCAGCCACAGAGGTAATCATTCAATCCTTATCTATGAAGGACTTGCAAAATATAAGAAAGGACTTTAGCTGTCATGAAGGTGAGACACTTATCACCTGTTGCTCTGATCCTGGGATAACAGGGCTGATACCATAGACTTACAGTAGAGAAGCCAGGCAGTTGGGAAACCTGGCCAGAGATGGAGGCATCAATAAAGCGCTACCATGAGCAGTTCTCCAGTTTAACTATGAACCCATTTGTTGATAGCTACGCAAGTCATGTGAACCTATCTGTTAATAGCAGGTACTATGCTCAAGATCAGAGGGGTCCTGCCTCCAGCCAGGAGAAAGAGGAGGACAACTGAGTTTATTAGACTGTATGGATTCGATGGACTGGCACGTTAGAGCCACAGAAGTATAAAGCCATGGTGGACACTTGCGCACAGTGTACCCTATTGCCATCAAATAATAAAGGGGCAGAATCCGTCACTATTACTGGAGTGATAGGGGGGGGGTCTCAAGAACTGACTACAGTAGAAGCCAAAGTGACCCTAACAGAACAAATGGGAGAAGCACGCCACTGTGACTGGCCCAGATGCTCCGTGCATTCTTGGCATAGACTACCTCAAGAGAAGGTATTTTAAGGACCCGAAAGGGTATTGGTGAGCTTTTGGTATAGTAGCTGTAGAGACTGAGGATGTTACACAGCTGTCTACCTTGGCCTTTCAGATGACCCTTCTGTTGTGGGACTGCTGAGGGTTAAAGAACAGCAGGTGCCAACTGTTACTGCCATGGTGCATCAATGACAATATCGCACCAACCAAGACTCCCTGATTCCCATCCATAACCTGACTCATCAGTTAGAGACCCAAAGAGCGGTCAGCAAGACTCGCTCACCCTTTAACAGCTGGCAATGTGCACTCGCAGCCCAGAAGGCCACCTGTATCCTGGGCTGCATTCCCAGCAGCATGGCCAGCAGGGCAAGGGAGGGGATTCTGCCCCTCCAGGAAGACCCCCCTGCAGCACTGCCTCCATCTCAGGGGGTCCCAGCATAAGAAGGACATAGACCTGTTGGAGCAGGGCCAGAGGAGGCCACGAAACTGATCAGAGGGTTAGAGCACCTCTCCTACAAAGACAGGCTTAGAGAGTTGGGGTTATTCAGCCTGGAGAAAAGAAGGCTCCCAGGAAACCTTATAACGGCTTTTCAGTATCTGAACGGCACCTACAAGAAAGCTGGAGAGGGACTTTTTACAAGGGCACGTTGTGATAGGATGAGGGGTAATGGCTTCAAACTGGAAGAGAGGAGATTTAGAATAGATATCAGGAAGAAATTTCTCACTCTGAGGGTGGTGAGGTACTGGAACAGGTTGTCCCTGGAAGTGTTCAAGGCCAGGTTGGATGGGGCTTTGAGCAACCTGGTCTAGTGGAAAGTTTCCCTGCAGGTGGGGTTGGAACTAGATGATTTTTAAGGTCCCTTCCAACCCAAACCATTCTATGATTCGACATGGCCAGCGCAAAACTCTGATGGAGACTGGAGATAAACAGTAGACTATTGTGACCTGAATGAAGTCACACCACTGCTGAGTGCTGCTGTGCCAGACATGCTAGAACTTCAGTATGAACTGGAGTCAAAGGCAGCCAAATGGTATGCTACAATTAACATTGCTAATGCGTTTTTCTCTATTCCTTTAGCAGCAGAGTGCAGGCCACAGTTTGCTTTCACCTGGAGGGGTGTCCAGTACACCTTGAATCGACTGCCCCAGGGGTGGAAACACAGCCCCACCGTTTGCCATCCAGACTGCACTGGAGAAGGGTGAAGCTCCAGAACACTTGCAACACATCAATGGCATTGTGTGGGGTAATACAGCAGAAGTAGTTTTAAAAAAACGTAAGAAAATAAACCAAATTCTTTTGAAAGCTGATTTGGCTATTGTCGTGGTTTAGGCCAAATTGGCTACTGGGGACCTGGGGGACCCCAGATGGGACTGACAGATGCTCTCCTCTACCCCTCTTCAAAGAGAGGGGCAGAGGAGGAAAAGGAGACTTACGAGTTTAGAAGGAACTAAACTACTTTAATGAAATATTAATAATAAAATAAAAAAAAGATATAATGAAATATATACAAAACTGTATCAAGCTCCCGAGATGACAATCACAACACCGGCTGGCACTGGGGCAGTCCCAAGCTGGACTCAGTGACAGACAGGAACTGGATTCCGGATCTGCATTCAGGATCGGGAGTCAGAGTCCTCCTCAGACGTCGGCCATTGCAGGAAGAGAGAGCTGACCTTTCGATCCCTCAGCCTTTATACTGAGCATGAGGCAGATGGGGTGGAATACCCTCGTTGGTCAGTTTTGGGTCACCTGTCCTGTTCGCTCCTCCTTGCAGGTGGGACCCCACTATGCTTTTCCGCTTCCGACCCTCCAACGGGGCAAATAACAAAGTTGGTTGGCCTTGGTTGTTATAGCAATAAGTATAAGCAAGGTCCTCTCTGCATACCATGGCTGGGCATCAGCTATAAACATAGGTCTTATCACCCTGAGAGAGTGAACATTGTCTGCACAATATGCTGTTAATTTCAGTTGTTAGAGAGGCCCAGCTAAGAAGCGAAGTTACTGACCAAAAATTGGTTCTGTTTTACCTCAAACCAGGACAGCTATAAAAAGAGGCAAGGTCAAAGGGCCTGCACAAGAGATCCAGTTCTTGGGAATTAAGTGGCAAGATGGGAGCTGCCAGATCCCAATAGATGTGATTAACAAAATTACAACTATGTCCCCACCAACTAACAAAAAGGAAACACAGTCCTTCTTAGGCATTGTGGGTTTCTGGAGAATGCATATTCCACATTGTAGTCAGACTGTGAGACCTCTCTATGAAGTGACTGGAAATAAGAATGATTTTCTGTGGGGCCCTGAGCAACATCAAGCATTCAAACACATTAAACGAGATTGTGCATGCAGTAGCCCTTGGACCAGTCCGAATGGGACAGGACTTTAAAAATGTGCTCTACACCACAGCTGGGGACAACAGGCCTACCTGGAGCCTCTGGCAGAAAGCACCAGGGGAGACTCAAGGTCAACCCCTAGGGTTTTAGAGTCCAGGACACAAAGGCTCTGACGCCAAATATACTCCAACTGAGAAAGAAATCCTGGCAGCATATGAAGGAGTTATACCTGCTTCAGAGGAAACTGGTACTGAAGCACAGTATCTCCTGGTGCCCCAATTACCAGTACTGGGCTGGATGTTCAAGGGTAAAGTTCCTTCTACTCATCATGCCACCGATGCTACCTGGAGTAAATGGGGTGCATTAATCACACAGCGAGCTCGAGTAGGAAACTCCAATCATCCAGGAATCATAGAAGTGATCACAAACTTGCCAGAAGGCAAAGACTTCGGAATGCCACCAGAGGAGGTGGTGACACATGCTGAAGAAGTGTACAATGAACTCTCAGGTAGTGAGAAGCAGTATGCTCCGTTCCCTGATGGATCCTGTTGTAGTGTAGGAAAGCATCAAAGGTGGAAGGCTGCTGTGTGGAGTCCTACAAGATGAGTTGCAGAAGCAGCTGAAGGAGAAGATGAATCGAGTCAATTTGCAGAGATGAAAGCCATCCAGCTGGGTTTAGACATTGCCGAACAAGAAAAGTGGCCAGTACTCTATACTAACTCATGGATTGTGGCCAATGCTCTGTGGAGATGGTTAAAGCAGTGGAAGCAGAGCAACTGGGAGCGCAGACATAAACCCATCTAGGGTGCTGAATTGTGGCAAGATATTGCTGATCAGCTTAGGGAAACTAGTCATAAAGGTACATTCCACGTACCCATGAGCCAGGCCACTGAAGAACATAGGAATAATCAACAAGTGGATCAGGCTGCTAAAATGTTCCAGATAGATTTGGACTGGGAACATAAGGATGAACTATTTTTAGCTTGGTGAGCCCATGACACTTCAGTTCATCAAGGAAGGGATGCAACACATACCTGGGCTTGCGACTGAGGCGCGGACTTAACTATGGACAGTATTGTGCAGGTTATCCATGATTGTGAAATATATTTTTTCAACCCATAGTCTCTCTCCTTTATTCTCTCTTCCTTCCCCTTCTGGGAAGGGAGAGGAACACTGTCATGCATTTAGTGACAGCCCAGCCTAAACCATGACACTAGTGTGTTCTTACCCTTTGGTTAGTCAAGAGTACGCTGCAACAAACTGCACTGATCACACACAGAAATGGTATCACAAGGTCAGGAGGAAGAAGTTCCTTCCAGTGATCAGTGCTGTCCTGGTTTCAGCTGGGATGGAGTTTGTTTTCCCAGTAGCTGCTGTGTTTTGGATTTAGTATGAGAATAATGTTGATAACACACATTGGTTTAGGTGTTGCTAGGTAATGCTTATATTAAGTCAAGGACTTTTTCAGCTTCCCACAGAAGCTGAGAGGGAGCACAGACAGAACAAGCTGGCCAAAGGAATATTCCATACCATAGACGTCATGCTCAATATATAAATGGGGTTTGGCTGGGGGGGGCAGGAATCTGGGATTGCTGCTTGGGATGGGCTGGGCAACTGATCAGCAGGTGATGAGCAATTGTATTGCATCACTCATTTGTATATTCTTTTATCACTGCTACTATTATCTTCTCTTCCATTACTGTCCTATTAAACTGTCTTTATCTCAACCCACAAGGTTTCCTTATTTTCCAGTTCTCCTCCCCTACCCCACTGGGAGGGTAGGGACTGAGTGGACAGCTGCATGGGTCCTGGTTGCCACTTGGGGTTAAACCACAGGTGGTAATCATGAAAGCTCACCAGCAGGCAGTCAAGAAACTGAGAAGCATATTAGATCCCTGGAGGTCCCCAAGAAGTTTGCTGCACCCATTTACTCAATAACATCAAGCTAATACATACAGAAATCGCTAGGTTTACAGTGTTTGAAACTGTATTACTACGGGAAATTCAAGCGCTTCAGGAAAGTAGTGTGTAATCTCATAAGAAAGGTAAAGCTTGCTCCCATGGAGCTCTGGGATTTAATCAAGCATTTGGCTCAGTTGAGCTCAGTTTTTCCTTTTCATGCTGCAAGTGAACAACTCAGCAAACACTCAGCTCTTCCTGAACAGGGCCCTCTGCTCCTCCAGCTGCCCTCTGAGCACATCCCCTGCTCCCATCACCTCTGCGTGGTGATCCACCCCACCTGCACCCACCCATACCATTCACCCATGGAGCCTGACCTCCAGCGCCTCACATTTTGCCAGGGTTCATTTAATCACAAAACTGAACATCAGAGTGAGAGCAGCACAGACTCACAACCAGCTGTTATTCTGATTAAAACATCTTTGATGAGTGTAGCAATATAGCTTCGGGATCCTTTGTTTTAGGGTACCTAAAGAAGGGCATAGAGTTTGCTGCTTTGACCAAGCTGAGACAAGCCAGCGCAGGCGTTCGCGCCAAACACACAACCATAATGCCTGCGGGCTGTTTATACACATGAACTCCAAACTGCTAAAGAACAAACTAAAGATCTTCTGAATTCTCCAACACACCATAGAACAGCAGCTTTTAAAAAACACATGCACACAGTATATAGCCAAACCCCACACATAATTCAGAGTCCAAGGGCCTGTAACACCCATCACACTTACGTTCCCTCTGGGGGTGTTTCTGCCATCTGAATGTCTCGGGGGTCAGAAGTCACATCCAGCTCTGGCTCTCCATTATCCATTAGTTTGAGGTTAAAGATGATCACCAGGGTGCCTGAGCAAGTAACAAGTTGATCAGGTGAATCCCAGCCAAACTCCAAATACCTTGCCCATGACCAGCAACAGTCCATACGTACCTTTCTCCCCACGGATCTTATTAAACTGCTCCATCACTTCCTGCTCTGATTTGAAAGGGGAATACTTGTAAATTAGCTCTGTCTCAATCCCAAACTTCTCCATGTTGTCAGTCACAGGCTCCTGGCTTTGTGCGTTCCAGGTGGGCAGGGGAACGATGACCTGCAAATTGCATTGTACAAAGAGCGACTCAGGCTCACCCACTTCAGCCAACCCCTTCTCTGGACCACAGCCAGGCAACCTAGCCCTGCTGACAGCCCCCTAAGTCACTGCAAGAGTCCTTGCTAGCTTCTCAGTGGTTTGCATGTCTGTCAAATGCTTGAGGACCCCTCTTTACCAGCCTCTGAGTTGCCTTCTTACAGCATCTAGTCTTAGACTGAACCACTCCCAAGTAATCTGTATGGTACCAGCTACTCACACACTCAATGTCTTTTTTTTCCCCCCCTCTTCTTGTAATAACATTCATAATACTAAAAGAAACACCCAAACTTTGCTTCTTTAAAAATGTCAGCCTCTGTGCTTAACTTCTCTTGAATACAAAAATCCTTCAGTTATATTTATCCTGATCTCACTCATTATTTTTACAGAATTCTAGCAAGGTTATTGGTGTTTTCTGCCATTTAGAACAAAAACACAGATAGGATTACAGACCGCAGCTGCCTATCAAGGACAACAAATCCTGTCCTCACTTTAGACCTGAGATCAAGCCAGAATTTCTGGCTCCAGAGCTGCTTTGGGAACTAAATCACTATTCCCAACTTGCTTCAGCCATCAGCTGGCCACTAGCAAGCACTGCTTCCTCAACAGCTTCTTTGTAGAGCTCCCTCCACTATTAAAATGGAAAACGATTTCTTAGATACTATCCCAGCGCAAATTTACAGCTTTTCATTATTGGCCTTGCCTGGAAAATACTTGTGCTTGAGCACAAAAATACTTCCATCTTTAAAATCTGGATACAGAACAACAATGCCTGAATTATCTATTAAGATAAACAAGTTTTTAATAGGTAGAACCATGCTGATTTTTTATTTAAAGAAAGAAGATCAGAAAGATGAGATGTCTGGAGTGCATGACCTGTGGGTAGCAACTTCAATCACACCTTTAATTTTCTATAGAAAATCAAATCAGTACAATAAATTTAAATATATCTCAAAGTCAAATTTTGTGGGAAAAGGAAAAACACAAGCAGCCTAGGCATTTCCTGAACTCAGCATGAGCAACTTTAAGTGACTGAAACAAGTCCTTCAAAGTTGCGGTAGTTTAGAGAGACCTCTCAAACAGAATTAAAATCAAAAGGAAAAAATCTTTGATGACTTTGGAGAACCCCTACAAGGGTATCACCAAGACAATATCATACACTGAGAAAATCATACACCAGAGTGGCAACCAACACTGACAGACTTCTCCTGTGAGAGCTGGGGAAGTTCAGGTTAGACAGCTTTCACCATATTAATTCATTACAACAAAGTACAGACGAACCTCATCAATGCCTTCTTCCTCATGGAACGTCCGAGACAACAGAAGGCAAGTCATGGTGTCGTCTTTTTTTGTGAACAAGACAAAATCCTTCCCAATCCGCATGGAACCCCTGGAAACAGATTTCAGGCTACATGTTACACCTGATGCACAACACTTTCTAGAAAGCAGACCACATTACTGTATTTTTTCTCCATTATGTTCAATTATGAGATGCCAAAACCAAGTAAGGCAGAAGAGCTTAAGCAGCAACTACCATTTCTCTCTAAACATCTCATTCCTTTTAAAAGGCATCTAAATCTAGAAATTTTCATGATGTTTCAAAACATTTAACACTAGCCACAATTAAAATGTGCAGAAGTACAGGGCAGCTTTCTGAGCTCATCCTATGTAAAAAGTCTAAAAAAAAAAAAAGTATCTTTTTTTTTAAAGGTAAAAAAGATGACTAAGTTGAGATGTGACAATAACATGTGCTCAAATATATGAGCAGAAATGTATGTGAGAAAGTGAACACACACTTCTTTTCGCTGTACCCAGAATAGAGGCAGACAAGTTTCTGGGAGACAGATAATTTATTTCTTAATGTCTAACTTGAAAAACTCACTGACACTTCAGCTAATGCAACTTTGCAGCTAGCTCTCACAAAAAGGGACAGTCTCATCTTCCTCCACCCTCTCCTATCCCAAATAGTGCCTTCTCTACCTTCTCTTTTACCCTATTACCCAACTCGTCGAAAAAACCTTAACAGAGAAAAATTAACATTGCATCAAAAGAAGCATTAAGTGTTCTGTCAGTTCACTTCTCTTTAGATTGGCTTAATGCAATACCAAAGCTCACCTTTCGCATGTTTAGGCTTCAGTCCACATTTCTCAGCTGTAATATAGTATGCCTCTTGCTAAAGGTTAAGAAGAGGACAGAGATCTGCCCTGCAAGTGCACAGGCAGGATCTAGGATCTGTCCTGCCCTGCAGCTGGATCAAGATCCCGTATGTGCCCTTTTTGTCTTTCTGTCCAGGTTATAAAGTCCCACAGACTTCCCCAGTAGGATGTATATAAATAATCAAGCCACATGGAACAGCATAAAGCAGAGTAAGCCATAAAAGCTCTCTAACTTTCCCAAAGATATCCATTCACCACAGCAAACACCTTTCCCTTTCCTAGCAAATCCCCTCCAACCAGTACGATTTCCTTCCTGCCTCTGTTCCTCTGCCACTTAATCCCACTCCTCCTCTCACTCCTTCCATCATTCCCCCTCTTCTCCATGCATCTGTTTGATTTAAGACAAAAAGAAAAGGCTTAAGTCCATCTGGCTTGCACCAGACAACTTTCCTAGCAAGAGGCTGCAGCGCTATTTTGCTCCAATTTTACTATCTGCCTGCCACAGGCATATTAAGGTTTTGTCTTCTCCCCAGCTCTAATCTGTATACTCTGCATCATGCAAACACAATGGCAAAATACTGTCATCAACTTTGGACTGACTTCTCTGCCACTGAAGAATTACACCAGATGTTCACAGAGCTCGTTTACCAAACCATGGTATCTTTATTTAGATTTCATTTGCATTCACTCCCCCCACCCCCCCATCCTCTACCCCCCCACCATCCCACCCCCTGCAGAAAAAAAAAAAAAGATATACACCTCCAAGCAAAAAATACATTTACTATCTCAACTCTAACCTCCATAATCTCAGGAGGCTGGCTTTTGTTATACCTACGATTTCAAGCCATTCCCATACTGCCCAATTTGAGTTGACTCAGGTGATCGCTTCGCTGATTTACCAAATTGAATAACACTGGCAGCTTCATCTGGAACAAGAGACAGGGGAAAAAGAAAAGTTTATTTTAATATACACACACACATATCTTTTACAGTGGTGAATAATATGTAAGTAGCACAGAAAGACTGTAGCATGGAAGAGGCCGGAAGCTCAAGCCAAAGTCTCATCCTGAATCTCTACCATCCAGCTCTGTAAGATACACATACACTCGATGGTATTTACATTATCAAAAGCTTTGTATGGATGCCATTATGCTGACAAAGAGAGTTTTAAGTTTCAGACTAGCGCAGTGCCCAGTCCAGACTGCACAAAGATGGGTTTGGGTTTTTTTTGGTTTTTTTAACAAAAAAAATGTCCCCGAGATGATCTGTTGTGTCCACCACAATTATCAACACACTCATAAACCAAAACATACCCTGGGACACCGTGGCTCTGCTATACTGTGTATACTGCTGACACCACAGACTCCAAACCACTGGCACTAGAGCGTAAGTCAGTACCATAAAAAAGGTCTTGAATTTGGGATAAACATTACTTTTTCTTCATGGTGTTGAACTGAACACTATCATAATTAATGCACTAGTAAGGCAAAAGCTAATTTTTGCAGCAGATTGCTGGACTACTGACAGCAGGACAGCTGTGGGTGAAAAGGCAGTACTAGCAAGTACTGCAACAATTAACGGAGTATTTTATTAGCACAGGACAAAATGAAAGGACGTGATGGCTTTACAGCTGAGAGAGTCTGTCATTTTTAGTTCAAGCCTTTCTATTGTTCAAGGGATAAAGCCTTTCAACATCATCCACAGGACAGAACAATTCCTCTCCCTTCCCCCAAGAGATAGCAATCATTTCACCATAGAGTTTACTGGGAGAATTGAAATGCAATTCCAGAGACGAGGAACACCAAGTGCCTTAACAGGAAGGCTAACAACAATTACAGCCCTCAAATGCATACACAAGCTGTGAGGGAACACGGGACATGGCTCACCCCACCAGCCAGCTACATGGAGGCTGAGCCTGTGGACAAGCTGGATTTAAGCACCCAGGAGACTTGCCCAGGTCTGCTAGTACTGATGACAGTGGGGTTTTACAGCAAGATTTTCAGTACTAACACCATCTGTCTAACACAAAAATCACTGAGCTGGGTGTCAGAATGCCATTTTCCATTAAAATTACATTCAGATTTAAAGCCACAAATTACAAGGCAAAAATACAGAACAACTGGGCAAGCACCTCGCTGCCTCAATTCAGTATGTTCATAACAGAGGTCCACAACTATTTCAAAACCAACTTTTGACTGGATGAGAGTACCTCCTCCTTTCCTTCAGCCTACTACAGTATTTTCCAGCCAAACAAAGAAAACATTAGATTATCTCCTGTTTGAGATCTGGGTAAGGATATTGACAATGATGATACTATTATTACTCTCAGTTTTAACGCCTGGTCAGAAAAGAAGAGAAGGCTACTGGAACCCTCTTGCTACACAAAAAGTTGTATCAACAACTATTTTTAAGAAAACTTTGAGAAGCCTAAGAAGGGTGAAAAGTAATTGTCCAAAGCATTTCCTCTCTCAGAAGAGGTGACCATATGGTTTAGCACTCAACGCTGCATGTCCAAAACCACTGTATAAAGATTCTTCTTTCTGGGCAGAGGGATGAAGATTATGCCCAGCAGAGAGGACTACTCTGGACCGAGCAAGCATCTCTCTCTGCTCCAGGCTTGCTGTCTTTTGGAGAGATTTAATATTTACCTCCTCCCAAAAATCAAGGTACAAATGAATTTTTTTTCCAGCTTTGAGTTAAAGCTCTGGATGGAGTTTGACTCAAGGCTATTTTAATCACACTGTTTTTGTTTTGTCGTGTCTCAAGAGTTACTGGACTTAAAATCCCCAAACTCCCTAGCAACAAAAGGGAGGGTGATATGATCTATGCCAAACAGACGAGAGAAAAAACAATCCGAAGCAATTTGCTCAAGATGGCAGATTGATCTTCAGAGCCCAAGAAAAGGAATCAAGGGCACAGATAAAAAGTTTTCTAATAAGAAACATCAGACACCTGAGATGAAGTGGGGGACAGAGCTGTTTGTCCTCCAGGACAGCAAGAGAGCATCCTCCTGAAGGATGGGCAGGCTGTTACAGCACATGCGCTGGCTGGCACACAACGCACCGCTGACATCCCTGCAGGCAGTTGCCTGCTCTGGGTCACAAACCATACCTCCCCACTCCGGGCAGCCACTGCTGCTGAGTGAAGTCAGACCTGGCTTCACCCTTTGAGGAGAGTCCTCTCGTATTTAAGTTTTCCAGTTGAGAATACACTAAAGAATTATGTAAGCACGGAAAGTTACCCTTCCTGCCTTCTCCAGAAATTCATCTGCTTTATTTACATGAGGTAGAGTACTTGTAGTGGACTTGACAGCATCCTCAAAAAATATCCTGGGGCCAAAGTATCTAATTTACTACCTGGGGGAAATCAGCCTAAACCAAAATTACCTCCAGTCAAACTTTCTCTGGGACAGGGGAACAGGGGAGAATCTCTGAGGTCCTTCATCACCATAACACAAGACACCCAGCCACCTGAGGGAAACAGCTGAACACAGCTAGCGATTGACAAATCAGTTTGATATACATACCTGCAATTTACTTCAAAAATTTGCTAACTTGAGAAGAAACGTCAATGTTCTACAAGCTTAAAGTGACATTTTCTGCTGAGAAATATGTAGCCCACTCCCCTGAGAGCAGTCCCCCGAGCATCACTGCCTACACACAAAAGCACATACGCACACTTTAAAATAAGTGCTAGAATCCATGTTACATTTGAACATTGTTCCCCACCATTGTGAGCCTTGAGTAAACAGTATTCTAAGAATGTAATCTCTAATAAAGTAACCAACATATTAATACTGAATTAACTGCATCCGGTAAAACAAAAGCTCTTTTGAGCTTCCAGATTTCAAAAATACAGTTTAAAGGAGCAAGAACTGATATATTTACTTCAATCTCTGGGAAAGCAACAGAACGAGTCCTCTTAAAAACTATCACAAGCCAAATGAAGCAAGTGACTGAGATAAGCCAGCACAGATTTACCAACGGCAAGTCATGCCTGACTGACCTGGTCACCTTCTACAACAAGGCAGCACTTTCTGTCCACATGGGGAGAGCAGTGGGCGTCATTTAGCTGGGCTTCAGCAAAGTGTTGGACACTGTTTCCCACAGCCTTCTCCTGGACAACCTGGCAAGACACAGACTGGATGGGTGGTATGCAAGATGGGTAGGGAACTGGCCCACAAGTTGTGCTCAGAGGGTGATGATCAACAGTTTTTATTCTGGCTGGCAGCCTGTCACAAGTGGGGTCCCCCAGGGACTGATGCTGTGCCCCACACTGTTCAAAATCTTCATAAGGGATCTGAACGATGGGATCAAAAGCACCCTCACCAGGTTTGCTGATGGTGGTGAACTGGACACATCAGAAAGGAGAGCATTCTTAGGGAGAGAGACCAGGACAGACTGGAAGACTGGGCAAGCAAGAACTGTATGAAGTTCAGGGAAAGGCAAGTTCCTGCACCTGGGATGAAATAACCAAAAAGCCCAGTATGGCTGGCATCAGTGTGGCTGGGGAGCAGCCGTGTTGAAAAGGACCTCGCGGTCCTGGGAGACAACAAACTGAACAGGAGTCAGCTGTGCGCTGCTGCAGCAGCAATGAAGGCAAATGGGATCCTGGTCTGCATTCAGAGGGACATTACTACAGAGACAGAGAAGTGATCATCCCACTCTGGTCAGTGCTTGTCAGGCTGCAATTGGAGTACTGTGTCCAGTTCTAGTCTCCTCAATTCAAGAAAGAGGCCGACAGACTGGACAGAAGAAGATGACCAAAGGGCTGGAGAACCTGCCCCAAGAGAAAAGACTGAAGGAGTTGTGTCTCTTCCTGGAGAAGAGAGGGCTCAGGGAGAATCTCACCACAGTATTCCAGTACTTAAAGGGAGGCTACAAAGAGGATGAAGGCTCTCCATTCACAAGGAGAAGGCATGGGGCAATAGGCACAAGTTGCACTGGAAGAGGTTTCATCTCAATATAGGAAAGACATTTTTAGAGTGAGAACAATCAATCACCGGAACAACCTCACCAAGGCTGTGGTGGAGTCCCCATCGCTGGAGGTTCTCAAGACGCAACAGGACAGGGTGCTAAATCATCTCATCTAGGCTCCCTTTCCCATGAAAGGTTGGATCAGATGATCTCTGAGGTCCCTTCCAACCTGGGCTCTTCAATGGTGCTACGATTCTAAAATGCAAGTTAAAGACTTACTTTCTTCGGTCCTTCAAGAATACTACCACATTAGTAGTTATACTTTTTCAACCTACAAGTTGATTCAATGAATCGTTCAACCTACATTTTGATTCATTAAATTCACGCAGCATCTCCAGAGCCCAAGCAGTAAGTTAAATTCTCAAGCCTAAGTATCCTCAGTAGTAATGCCACTGACAATATGGGAAATCCCAACCTAAGAGATGCAGCATGGGCTCTATTGTTTGTTTTTCTAATTGACTCCTATTTAGTCCCTTATGAAAAAGCCAAACTTTTGGACCAGTACTACCATGCTAATATCTCCCTGTGGGATGCAATGCTTTTTTAGAAAAGATCCGTACTGTGGCATCACCAAATCCTCAGATCTTTTGATAACTTATGACTCTACAGCATAAGATGTTTGCAGCTTGAATACAAACATATTTTGGTCTTCAAACCACGCAATCCAGTGTGATCATTAAGGGAGCCAATGCAGCAAGTTCTGAATGCAATTGTAGTAGGAGTCACATGACAAATACACCTCATTTTTAGAAATGCTAATTACTTACACCTTTCACTAATTTTAGTTGAGGAGCTGCCATTAGGTTTGACAATCAGGAGCTATCAGACAGAGCACTCAAATGTGGCCTGTTGCCTCACTATACCCTTCTCCATTTTCACAGCTTGCCAGGCAAATCTAGAACTGTCCAACACAGAACAAAACCAATGAAACTGAACAGCAACAGGACAGAGTAACACAGAGAACATGTTAATAGAATGGTTCACTTCAGCCTTTTGGCTCCTCCCTCTGTGTGAAAGCACCCAGAGACACCTGGGTTCATTTACTCATCCTCCCAAATGATGCCTCATCCAGTCTTCTAACAGAAGCACAGAGTGGTCAGGGTTGGAAGGGCCCTCTGGAGCTCCCCCAGTGCCACCCCCTGCCAGAGCAGGGGCACCTCCAGCAGGGGCAAAGGACGGCGTCCCGGCGGGTTTGGAATGGCTCCAGAGTGGGAGACTCCCCCACCTCTCTGGGCAGCCTGTGCCAGCGCTCTGCCCCCCTCACAGGAAAGAAGTCCCTCCTCAGGTTGAGATGGAACTTCCTGTGGTCAAATTTGTGCCTGTTACCTCTTGTTCTGTCACTGGGCACCACTGGAAAAAAGACTGTTCCCATCCCCCTGGCACCCTCCCTTTAAGTATTTATAAGCATTGATAAGATCCCCTCTCAGTCTTCTCCAGACTAAAAAGCCCCAAGTCACTCAGCCTTTCCTTGTAAGAAAGATGCTCCAATCCCCTCATCATCTTTGTAGCCCTCTGCTGGACCCTCTCCAGCAGTTCTCTGTCCTTCTTGAACCAGGAAGCCCAGAACTGGACACAATACTCCAGATGTGGCCTCACCGGGGCAGAGTAGAGGGGGAGGATGACCTCCCTTGACCTACTGGCCACACTCTTCTTGATGCACCCCAGGATGCCATTCGCCTTCTTGGCCACCAGTGCACATTGCTGGTGTCCTCACACATTAGTGTGGGCTCCAATAGCACTATGGCAAGTCACGTAGTTATTCTTTTTAACATGTCAGCTTTATGTACAATAAAAATAATCCTTAATTAAAATTATCATGCAGAAAAATAAAACACTCCCGATGATTTCTGTTGAAGGAAGGTCTGTATGGATGTTCCTGCTATTTTCAAAACAAGGGAGAAAATTCCAATAAAAGGTTTTCTGCTGACATCTCCTAAAATCAGAGATCTTCAAGATGTCTTTAAAACTGGTAGATCTAGCACTATGAGAAATTAAAACTCAGACCCCTATAGCCAGGGACAGAAGTGGAGAGAGGCCCATGTAGGGAGTCAGAGTAACAGACTCCCCCCAGCCACTTTTGTACACGTTGACAGGGAAACAGTGCAGCAAGTGGAGTTTCTACTTGGCTGTCCTTGGTTAAGTGACTTTCAAAGGCCTATCAAGCCTACTATGATCATCCAGCCTTGAAGCCATGAAGACGTGATCGCTAAAGCCAGACTCTGCATCAAAACAGTATGTCCCAGGCTACTGAAAACTAAGAAGGGCTTTTTAAAAAGCACTCAAAGTTGAATAGTGATTTTACATTCTGAAAAGCAGTGTCCTGGAAAGGGGCACAGCCTATTTAAAATGAAAAAAATTCAGACGCAATGAACCACACTTTGATGCAAGCATCAAGACAGTCAAAGGACATAAATTATATGGTATTCATTGATATGATATATAGCGCTGTGAAACACCACTACAACCTACAATATGTGCCAATCTCCTTTACAAAGTATCTCAGACCAAAGTCAGGATAAAATCCTTCGAGATCTAGCAGAAAGATCAGTCAAAAGAAGCAGCTTAATACTTAGCCAATACTTAAATCCTACTTCGTCATAAAATCAGCAATATGGGAGCAACAACAGCATAAAAGCTGCTATTTGGACTCTGCGGCATTAGAACAGACATTTGTCACATTCTGCTCTCAATCCAAAGACAAACATGTAGTTTGCAAGACACACAGAAAATCTTCTCCCTGATCCAAAGGCTTGTGAGAAGGCCACAGTTAAGTCTCTGAACTTGTTTTATGGATGGGGCTTAATTCCTTCCTTCAGTTCCACTGGTGACAGAAAAGTACTCTCAGAAGACGTGTTTAGCATCCTTAATTGTATTCTAGAGAATACGCAGATGGTATCTAGAGTTCAAACTGAATTCCTTCATGCAGGTCACAAATCTGCATATCAAAGATGTTAACGTATTTTTATAAGCATAAATAAACGGAACTAAACGCTTCATATCACAAGAGGATCTTATAGTACCGAGGGATAAGAACAAAAGTGTTAGTCGATCCTTATTTATCCATCTCTCGCCTTCTCCAAAACCTTCCAATTTAAACCAACTTTTCGGCCCAGTGGAGGCCGAAGGATTGACCCATCTTCAAGACACAAAGAAGGTGGTGTGGGTTGACAGTGCTGTTTACTGATGCTAAAGCAAAGCAAGAAGGCTTTTCTCCTGCTAGATACAACACAGACTTACATCAATTCTTACAACGAAGCAGAAGTACATTTGCTACATTCTTCTCATACTCCTAAGATTTTTATATTGTCAAGTATTGATCTGAATCACAATGCCAATAATGAAACAATGGCAAAATGCTTTCAAAGCTAAGCTTTCTACTTCTGCCACGGCACACTTTCTTATTAGAGCTGAGATACACTAACCACTTGGCAGCCTCAAACAGGGAAAAGGCTTATGCCTGTCAGAGCTTGAGCTCATTCCGTCTTCTGGCTACACTATTCTCCCTCCAGACCCAAATCCAACTTTGGTGTGCTGCAAAACCACAGGCCAGAGTGACTCAACTCTATAATGCAGCAAAACAATTTTCTTTTGGCCAGATTAGTTTTCTGCAACTGAAGAGGTGAATAGTTTGATATATGACACAGTGTGAAAGAGCCAGTGCAGAGCCAGGAATGTGGCATGGAACATGCCCCCCTTCAACAGAACCAAGCTGTTAATTCAGCTTAAGCCATAACATTAAACCTCAGCTTGAAAATGCAAGTGTGACTTCCTAGTCACTTACTTGAATCCATTCCCGTTCCATCATCCAAAAAACACAGCATGAATCTACCTCGTAGGTCTTCCCGTCGCTCTACAAAAGAAGAGTTATGCACTAGTCCCGCAAGCAAAAGTTAAAAGTTCCATAAAATGGAATCAGTGTACACAACAGAAGCAACACAACAAACAAGGGCTTCACAAGCCAAATATAGCAAAGCTGTAAGAAAGAGCACCAGATTTTTTATTACAGAATAAGAACTTTTTCTGCATGTAAATATATGCTACAAGAGTATATTGTAAAAGCAGGTTTCTCAAGCATCCAGTATAAATAGATTTTTTATCTTTATCAAAAATCACTTTACCTGATATCAGCTGAAGGCTGATCTAAGTGCTTGCCCGAGTTATCTGTAAAGGTACTGCTTTTTGAAAGACAACAGGCACTGGGGCACAGGACAAACAGCAGAATCATAGAATCATTTAGGTTAGAAAAGATCCTTAAGATCATCAAGTCCAACCATCAACCTAACACTGCCAAAACCACCACTAAACCATGTCCCTCAGCACCACATCTTTTAAATACTTCCAGGAATGGCGATTCCACCACTTCCCTGGGTAGACTGTTCCAATGCTTGACAACCCTTTGTTGTGGTTTAACCCCAGCTGGCAGCTAGGATCACGCAGCCGCTCCCGCAGTTCTCTCCCTTCCCCTCAGAAGGTCAGGGAGAAGAGGGGGAAGAGGAGGGGAAAGAAAGGGGAAAAAAAACCTTGTGGGTTGAGATAGACAGTTGAATAGCAATAATCATGACACAAATTGCTCCTACGACCTGGTAAATTGATGAATTTGGCACCGTCCCAAGCAGCAATTGCAATTTCTGCCCCCCAGCCAATCCCCATTTGTATACTAAGCATGACATCTATGGTATGGAATATTTCATTGGCCATTCCATTGCTGTCTGTGCTCCTTCTCAGCTTCTATGGGAAGCTGAAAAAATTCCAGCCAGGCTGGACATGGCCTTGGGCAACCTGGTCTAGTGGGAGGTGTCCCTGTCCATGGCAGGGGGGGGGGGCGATGATCTTCATCCAACCTAAACCATTCTATGATTACCTAGCAACAACTATAACAATATGCATTATTGATATTCCTTTCATACCAAACTTGAAACATAGCAGCCACTAGAAAGGAAATTAACTCTATCTCAGCTGAAACCAGGACACCCTTTTGGTGAAGAAATTTTTCCTAATATCTAATCTAAATCTCCCCTGGTGCAACTCGAGGCTGCTTCCTCTTGTCCCATTGCTTCTTACTTGGGAGAAGAGACCGATGCCCCCCCTCGCTACTCCCTCCTTTCAGGGAGCTGCAGAGAGCGATAAGGTCTCCTCTCCGCCTCCTTTTCTCCAGGCTAAACACCCCCAGGTCCCTCAGCCACTCTTCATCAGACTTGTGCTCCAGACCCCTCACCAGCTCCACTGCCCTCCTCTGGACATGCTTCAGCATCTCAGTGTCTTTCTTGTAGTGAGGGGCCCAGAACTGAACACAGTATGAGGCATAAACACCATCACTCTCCCAGGTACAACACACATTCACAGACTAAATCCAAGTTAACTACTGACTGAACCGGTGACATGCAAGGAAGCAGGAGTGACTTACCAGTATAAATGTCTATTCTCGTGGCATCTGCATCCCTACAAAGCAATAAAAACACAATCAGTATTCAAATCTCAAACAGAAATGAAGCTAAAATCCAGGCACGTGCAGTAATTTCCAAAATTAACTGGCTGCACAGATCAAAGTCCACAAAGGCCCCACAGTCAGGACTAACAGACAAGCTAAAGGACACATTGTTCCACTTTGTGCCTATTTGAACCCAAACTCCAGAGCAAGATATTGCTGACACACAACAAAATCTAGTTACAGTGAGGATCACTGGCTTTTTAACAAAAGTCACATTAAGGGGAGGGTGGGGAGTAATTAAACAAGCACACACTTCTGAGCTCCCTCAGAGTTTGTATGAAACAAACAACTTACATTTTTGCTGTCAAGCTGCCTATGAAAAGTTTAGCAACTCCACATAAAACTCCATCCAAATACATTCAAGGTTGTCATAGGAAACTGTGTCCTTACAAGATCATTTAAGAAAAGCCCTTCATACACCATGCACCCTCCTCCATATTTGAAAAAGCAGCATACACAGCACCACTGCCCTCTTCTCAAAACCCATTTGTAAATCTTTTTCCCCCACGTAGACCATCACATACCCTTGGTTTGCTGTTTAGAAGAGTGCAGTTGCAGTGCTACAGTAAAACCCCACTTCCCAAATGCCAAAGTCACTTTGTCTTGTCTTTGTACCTGCAGCCAAGTACAGCTACCACCTTCCCAGGTGACCAACCTCTCTTTTGCCAGAGGAGAAACCAAGAGGTTGAAGAGAAAACCACTCATTAATCTCAAAGATGCTACATTCAACCATGTTGTAGCAAAAGTGAAAACAGCAACTGCACGCAGACATGGCTCATTCCATACATGGAATTTTTCTTCCACAGAAATCTTCCAGTTTCAGTTCCTTACACTATGAACTGCAGAGCGTCACAATTCACACTTGATAGAAAATGATCTCAAAATAGTTCCATAATGCCACATCAGACTATTTTGACTATTTTGTGAAGCTGAAGAGGTAAGTATGCAAGGCTTGGGATACAGCTATAGCCTGGATTCCCCAGTGCAAACAGGAGAAATGTGGCCTAAACCCCGTAATTTCCAAATACCAAGTCTCCTCTCAAGTGTCACAATTGCTCAAACTGTGCTTGCTCTACTTTTCAGCATCCTGCTTCTGATTTCATTTTCATCCTATCATCATGCTTGATAGCATGTGGAAAGTCAAGGATTATCTAAGTATCTTAAGAGTCCCAGCTTCAATAATTATTATTTTACCAATTACTTTAAACAAAAAGGCAGGCTTATTTTTTCCTTAAATCTATCTTGTCTTCTAAGAATTTCCTTTCCAATATGATTTGTTCTACGATTCACTCAAACTTACCTTTTCAGGAATAATACCTTTTTTCTTTTCTTTTTGTTTTTTCCAAGGGGGCAGATGTGGTGGCATAAGAGGACCAAGGGAAATATTCATACTAACCCACAGCAAAGTCTTCTATTTTGTATTTTTTGTAAAGTCTACTAGAAGTGAAAATTGCTCAAGATCAACAAATAGACGGGCTAATTAAATCTTAACTGATTTTACCTTGGGAATTACACAGTCTCAGGTACATACCTGGCATTATCTACAAGTTCAGCAAGGGCACCAAACAAGAACTCATGTGTAGTTCTGCAATGAAACACAGAATCAGCAGGGTTACACTGACACTTAAGAGAGACCTTTAAATAAACAAGAATCTTAGCCACATTTTAAACAAATCCAATTGTATGTTCACAATACCAACATCTGCTGCTGACAGCAGATGAGAAATGAGCGTTTCACTGTCTACCAGAGGCAGACACACAACAAACAAGCTGCCCCATGGAGCCCAATTCAAAAAACTGCTGCTCACTATGGTCTAAAAAGCATCCCATGGTAAAAAGACACTACAGAGAAAATTATTTACCTATTGAACCAGCCTATGAGCCAGTCAACAACTCATACAGATCCTTAATTATTCACCACATTGACAGGTCTCCTTGTGGCAACTAAACACTGTGTATACATAAAACACGGACAGATGAGGATTACGCATAAGGTCTGTCTTGCCCATGCACATATTCACTTTGCAGAAGTTATTTCTGACAGGAAGAAGCTTCCAGATCCTGGGAGACTTCCAATAGCTACCACTGCTCCTAATCTGGAGAAAGTCTTCTGCCACCACTGTACCACACCACCTTCCAAACTCAGCGCTAAAATCATCTCGCCGGGTATCACTTCAGCACAAGTCCAACAGCCATGTTTAGTTTCCAGCCTCTTTGCTGCCACCTTTTATAAGCAGCACCTATTTGAAAGCCATCAGGTACATGCCTTAACCTTGAAAGAAGATACATGGTGAGAAAAATTCAAAGAGCTAATAAAAACAGTACAATACATTGCCTGCCAACATTAATGTAGTATCTCCACTGAACACCCAACCTGGTGACCTGTCTTCAACATCTAAAAATTATTTCAAATGTAGATGACCACACGGACACCAATACTAACAGCAGCTATAAGACCTAGAGAAACAGTTGCTGGAATTTGTTGCTCCTCTAAGACGCTCAATGAAGAGACTGAGTCCTCAAACTGTTTTTATCAATAGGTTTCAGTTTGCATGAAACCTCTTCACATACAACCTGTCTTCACTACTACACAAAAAGGCCAACAGGCAACCAAACAGAAAGTGGTATTCATATTTTTAGCTTTTGACAAACAGATATGTAGGTACTTCTCACATATAAAATATACAGCTGTCCATAACACTAATAATCACAAAACGAACTTTCATATCCATCTTCAATGTCATGACACCCAACCCATGAATCAGCTCCAATCAGAGTTAAAACACATCAGCTTTAAAGTTATCACTAGAACCACAAGAATGGAGATTTCCATCTCTGCAAGCTTCTACTTGCCCATGCAAAGAAATGAGACAGAAAAGAACAGTGTCTGGAAGACTATCTTCCCAATCAGAAAGCTTCCACAGATGCTCAAACCTGGTATTCTTTCCTTTGAGCGGGATTTCCTGTGCACAGATTTCAAGTGTTCCCTTGAGTTTACAAGCACCTATTCAGCTCCACAAATCAACATCCCAGATGTTTATTTAGGAAGTAACACATGTCAGGAAAAACCCATAAGCAAATGGATGCTTTAGTGCCAGTAGCTATGCTTCGTTAGCAGCTTTCACTCTACAATTTAAAGAACACTTCAAGATGCAGATAAGATACAAATAGGGATTTCCAAAGATAGATATTGGAACAAAGTAGCTGAAAACATAGCTACGGACGATAAGAAGAGAGGCAAGAGAAAACATGATTTCCACATAGCCTGACACCCCATGCAGCTTGAACATCTACCAAAACTGGAATCTCTTGTGTTGACATAGAGAAAGTGAAACCTCACTACAAGCAAGCGAAATCCACTCCAGCTATTTTTCCCTAATAAAAATTTACATACACTGTAAATATCTTCTATTCAGTATGTTAATCTCAACACTTACACTCTTCTTGTCAATATCTAATAAAAGTCACATGAAGTGGTTTGCCCTGATTCAGTCAACTCAGCTTTAACGGAAACCATAGTCTTGCCTTACAGCCAAAAGTGCCTGGAGTACTTAACATCCACCATTATGAACTGGTGACAATTTTCCCTCACCTCCCCAGAAAAACTTGGGATTATCTTACTTACAACATAACTTTAAAAAACGTGAGGCAAGCTGTTGGCAAAACAGAGTCTATCAGAGCTTGCCCATAACCTGGAAACACTTAAGCGCAAGCTAGATGGGTATCATCAGAAGCAACAGTAACCTGCATCAGTCAGAGCACTTGAAATATAACTATTACTGGTTATATTTCAAATTTCATACAGTTCATACAACTGATTAAATGACGCAGGAAAGCAGGTGAAGCCTTATCAAAACCTGTGGTTTCCATGAAAACTCATCTTGGCGGAAGCAGACTGGCTTGGACCTTCCTACAACTTCCAGCTTTCATTTGAGACAGCTCCATGCAGGAGTGCAGGCTGGACAAGGATCACAACAGGGAAGTCCAATGCTGCCAATTTATTGAAATCTGGGTTATAAGAGGTCAAGTCAGATGACTCTGCAGAACATAACTGATTCCAAACACCTCTACAAATAACCATTTGGAGTAACATCCCAAAGGGAACAAAAGCTTATTTCGTGAGCAGTTCTTCGAGGATCACCCTTGTTTGAACCCAGTTGGACTCCTGATACTGCATAGGCAGACAAGTACCCAGTTACTAATGAAAAATGTTAAGACTTCTTTTTTGCTCTGAAGGAGGCCACATCTGGGAAAGTGTTTAAGTTTGGCATCTGTATCAGGAGCAACAGCTATCCTAGCAGTACAGCACTCCATTTCAGGCAAGAATGAAAAACACACACAAGAGGAAAGCTCAGGGGGTGGGGAGATGTTGGTCTATTATTACTAGTATTCCTTGAGTCGAGCATTCGGTCATTTTAACATCTTTGTATTTGAGTGACCTTCATCCACTCCAGCTCTATTCAACAGGACAACTCAAGTTACAGAAAAAAAACCTCAAGTTCAATCACAAGCTAAATCCTATCTACTGTTAGAAGACAATTTCAGCTGCTCAATTTTTAACAAACTCCTTCAAATTTGCATTATATATATTCAAAACATGCAAAAAAACCAAGCTGGTTGGGCTCAAGTGTCTTTTTCTAATCATCTCAATGAGTGGCTTTGGAAGTATCTCAAATACCAGCATTTAATTTAGGGAAAACCAATGTGAAGGCAAGCAGGTCACTCTGGGAAGACATAAAAACAATGCAGGGGTTATTTTCACGTGCTTCTGTACAGCAATTTTCATTCCAGGCGCTAAAATAACTTTCACATAATATCATAGAGTAGTTGGAAGGGACCTTTAAAGGTCATTCAGTCCAATTCCCCTGCAATGAGCATGTTCAACTAGATCAGGTTGCTCAGAGCCCCATCCAACCTGACCCCAAATGTTTCCAGGGATGGGGCATTTACCACCTCTCTAGGCTACCCTCATTGTAAAAAAATATTCTTCCTTGTATCTAGTCTGAATCTACCCTCTTTTAGTTTAAAACCATTACCCCTTGTCCTATTGCTACAAACCCTACTAAAGTCTGTCCACATCCAACTATTTATCAAGAAAAGCACAGTGGTATTTCTATTAAAAAAACATGGCAACTGAAGTGATTCAGGTACACGGCATGAAATTTGCCATCAGACATGGAAGCATTCAGAAGTCATTGAAAAGATCTGTTGCAAGTTCTCAAGTTCAGGGACCAGATAGTCTGAAGTGCTTTGCAGAAGCTAGGTTGAATACTCTGCGTTAGACATACTAGAACTTTTCCTAAGGAAAGCCTTAAAAAGGAGGAAAAAAAATAATTATGGTTTCCCTCTGTACCTCAACAGCTAGATGGCTGACTTTTAACTGCCATTTAAAAGACCTCTACCTCCATGACTACAAGAACATCTTTAGCACTGAAATGAAATTTGTCTGAGACAGTGTGGCTTTCCTCAGCAAGAAAATAGCCCAAAAGACAAGAGTCTCCATGATCAAAAGCCCTACACTGTTCTTGTGTTGGACTGGGGGGGGGGGTGTGGGGGGGGTGTGCTCATTATTTTTCTGGGGGGAGCAGGGAGTTGCCAATTTGTTGCGGCTTGGTTTGGGCTTGCTTTTTTTTTTTTTCCTTCTTCGCTTTTAAAAATGACTTCCATTGCTTCCATTCCCATTCCTAGGGAAGTACTTGGCTTATACACTGATACCCATAATCTCACAAGGCTCCTTGCTCATGATGGACCAAAAGCCCTGCCTTTGGCTTATTCATCTGCATTAGCTTGCGGCTCCTCTTAATTTTGTAATGCAGTTATGCATTGCAGACATGTAGCACACTGGAAGTAGACAAGCAGTATTTACAGAACAGAAAGTACCGCAGCAACTTGAAGTAGCTTTAATATTTAATACTTCAGGGCAGGAACAACAGATCAGCCTTTTCTGCAGCACAGACATTATCTTCATAATTCATTCTGGTGTTCTGCAAGCAAATGCAAGACCGAACTCTACAATACAGTCTTTTAATCTGTAAAAGTGTTTGTTTTCTGCAGCTGGATGTGAGAATTTCACAAGTCAGTGACAGCACCAGGAATATAACTCGGTATAGTCCATCATCTTCAGGCACCAGACTGTTCACTGCATGTGCAACCACTACCAGCCACGCCACAGAACACAGACCCAAGGGTGACATCAGGCTGTTCGATTTCTTTTCCTGTGGAAAACCCATTACTTTCTTGATCCTGAAAAGAAATGGATTGTAACACTCTTGGCGTATGTGAGATTTGTCTTAGTTGCTCTTGCAGAAGTATCTTGTTACCAACAAAACCAGTCAGATCTACTTTGAAATCAAGTTGCCCATATTTCCGTGCATAAGAAGTCTTTAGACTCCTACAGACCACTGTGATCCTTCAAACATTGAAAGAGGAAAGCAAAGAGATAAGCTTGCACTTTTATTTCTTCTTCTTCTATTGATGGCAAGAATCAACTCTTCCACAAAATGTTAGATGACAATCTTACACTGGTGACCAGCTGATGAAAATGAAGAAACGCCAAGCATGGTTCACATTGTCCTTCT